GCCACAACGCAAGATAGGCTTGCTGGAAGGTCAGACAGAAGTGCCAGCCCTTGGTGCTCTCCTTGGACACGTAAGCTTGATAGATAACAGCTTCGATCATTTTGTTACATTTGTAAGGAATGGTACTAGCTGACTGTGGTCGGGCGGTTGTATCATTTTTTTGATCCAAACGAATCTCGTACCATGACCGAGCTCCTAAAAGCAGTCGACACAAAAACTCAAGCTCGGTTTGCTTACCTTGTAAGCAGTTTTATTATTCCCTTTCGCAACTCAATTTCACCTTTTTATGTTCACTATCCTTTTGCGTAGAGAATGGCACTTGCTGTATTTCATAATACCAGCGCGGAAGAGCGTAAGGCACAAGGTGGATTGACTAATTGGCAAATGATTGATCACAATTTGTCTGAATTTCGCGACAAAAGTCGTGACTATCGCCGAGCGTACGTCAGATTAGTTTTTAAGGGTTTAAAAAGTAGCTAACACTGCCTCTATATCACCAGATTCAATGCAATTGTCCTTGCTCGAGATCAAGGTCTATTCAATGGAAAGAACACGTGGGATGAGATTAAATCCAATGCACAATTTGAGGTCCCTAGCGTAACCAATGTTGTCACCGCCATCCCTTTCCTCCCCACAAATGCCAGTTGAATAGCTAATCACATACTCTTATTATCTTATCTCTCATCTCTCATCGATTCATTGTTTTCATCAATTCATCAGTTTCATCAATTTATCAAATCATTGATTCATCAAATCATCAATCATCGGTTTCTCATTTTTATTTTTTTTCTCGCTTTTTTCCTTTTATACTTTGTGTTTTCATCGTTTTTGTCGTTTTCGTCATTTTGATTATTGTTATTATTTTTATCATCTTTATCATCTTTTATATTATCAATGTTTATCGCCTTTGGGTTGCAAATAATTTGTGTTTTCAATACTATAATAACACTATAAGAAACACAAACCCTCACCAATCCATATAAGCCAAATCAAAAACAACCCGGAGATATCTCTGAAATTCATCCGCAGGTCATCCAGTGCTCAGCAGCCTGGATGTCCAACCGACTGCCAGAAGTACACCTCTGGGAATCGATGCTCCGACTACCCTCACGACATACCTTGACGGATGTCAGGTAGATGCAGGTCAGCGATCCTCGGGCTGCCCGATGGGCTCTGCTCGGTCGTCCCCACTTGGGCGTCCAAACAGGCACATACCGCTGTGTTGTGGGGGGGTGTCCGTCCCCCACCAAAAAAATCGGACATCCCCCGGACAGCTGGGTGTCCTTGTGGTGTAATGACTGTGACAGTGTAGTGTAGTGTGAGGTGTGTGTGTCTCCTAAGTTTAAGCTTGACTGAGGTTGACTTTAATTTGTTGTTGACCACTCAGTTTACAATCCACTACTTGCTATTCTAATTCTCATTCTTCATTCTCATTATCCTTGATGATCAAGTTTAATCTGCCCCCTTGAGCATGTCATCCCCTTCTCCTTTATCACAATCAACTCTACCCCAATCAAACACTAGTCTGACACCAAACAAACCACCTTCAACTTCTAATAAACCCAAGGATGGCGCAAGAACTTTGGTAGATGCTTTAACTGCTTATCAACGTAGGAATGCTAGGTAAAGCATCGCTTTGATCTCATTGAATCTATTAAAAACTAAATCATATCTCTTCCTGACGATTTCATTCACATTATAGACCTAGAGCCGAAAGAAATCAAGTTCAGACTAGCTCTCAATCTGCGAACCCGTCTCCTTCTCCGAACAACCTGTCTCCAAGACCAAACCGTTCTGATTCCAATAACGATGACAATGCTGATAACAAAGCGAATCCAACGACTCCTGATCGTCACCGTTTAGCTCCAAGCTCAGCCCGAAGTCGAAATCACCATGTATCTGAATTCAGTCGTAACCTTAACCCTGATCAAGAAGTCCAACTTAACAAAAACACAGACAATCGTGGTCGTCTCAATGGAACGAGATTCAAATCATCTCATAAGACTACCGCTGGTGGTGTGGTAGGCGGAAGGTCTCCCTCGAATAACCTACCCTCTTCGAAGCTGTACGACCCCAATTCCAGCTCACATCCTCCAGCCCGGATCTTTGGTGATAGTGGTCGTCTTCCTATCTCTGCCAACACACGTCCTCACTCTCATCGGCTTGTTTCAAGTAAATACGAAACCACCACAGCCCCCGGAGGGAGTAATACGCAATCATCTGTCAAGCCTGGCCATGAACGTGAAGGTCCTTCTGCTGTACGACCTCATTCGTCACAGCCAATCAAGAAATCTACCATGGCTATGGATGCCGATCTCACAGGTCATGAGCGTTGGAAGACAAAGAAACCTATTCGTGGTGATAGCTCAATAACTGCTGGTGCAAATGGAGCCCCAAGGCAGCTTTTTGATCCACGGAAGCACGACCCGGTCAAGTTCTCTGCAGCGAACCGCCCGATCGAAACTGGCGCAGCAAATGGTCTATCTGATAATAGAGATTCTGCTACCGCCGGTAGTGGGCTAGCCACAGCCGGCGCACATGAAGATAACGGCCATGGTTCGCATCTAGATCAAGGGGGTAAACCCACGAGTACGATTGTCCAGCTCAAAAGAGCCTACAAATATATTGTATGTCTCGAAACTGCACTCAAAGAAGAAGAATTTGCTTCAAAAGCTAAAGAAGAAGAAACAAAGACTCGTGAAATCAATTCGGCTCAAGACGGACGTCATAAATTGTTGGAGGATGACTATTGGGTGAAATTGGCTAAGCAACATCGAGAGTTTGTCGGAGTCTCCCTCATTGTTTCATACAGTGTGGATTCTATGCCCAAGATCTGACAACCCTCGAGCAATTTTATCCCCTTCTTCCTTCTTACCACCCTCTGTCTTTTCTCCAGTCTGGCTGAAAGCCCAATCACCATTTCCCTAACAATGGCTACCCAATCCAAAAATTACCAGGCTTCGATGCATTTCTTTACCTTCAGAAAATACAACATTCCTACTCGACTCTGGCAAACAGGATTTCATCAACTACTGGAACGCTTACGACATGCACTTCCATCTAACTCTGGGCAAAGTAGTAATCATCATCTATTGGAACATATGACAGATTTCATCTACTTTGCTTATGGGTTCTACACTAATTTACTGGAAGAACAGTCTTTTGGCAGTTTCAGAAGTATTTGGATCGAACAACTTGGTGATTTGGCTAGATACAGGATGGCTGTTGCAGGCTTGATGACTAAACTAACATCCAATCATCAACACTCTAAGAATATCGCTAATGAGATGACTTCAGAGGTCCATGCTAGTGATACTGATTTCAGCGATGCAGATGATCAGGTGGCCGGAAAGGCTATGCGACGAAAGCGAAGGGGACGAAGACGCAAAGAAGGATCTCAAAGCGATCATTCAATGGCCGACAGTTTAGATCTTGCTAGTGATAGCCATCATTCCCGAAGCAGTGACGAGGAAGACACTCGTCTATCACCCGCCCCGATCAAGCCTAAGGCAGTCCCAGTAACTCCGAAGATTATGCGTGGAAGCATAGGTGTTGCAGCACTTGGAGATTGGGAATTTGAAGAACAAGAGATTTGGCGTGCTACTGCTAAGGATTGGTATTCCAAAGGTTTGGCTGAAAGTCCCGGCACGGGTCGTTTACATCACCATCTGGCTTTACTCAGTAAGGGAGACGAATTAAGGACATTGTATCACTATACTAAAAGGTATTGAACTCTCTTTGTTCACTCCTACTTCTCATCAGAATGAGTTACAGCGCAGTACTGAATTATGCTATTTTTGATTTGGGTGAGGATAGCCTGACAGCCTCGCATCCTTATTTACCTGCTAGGGAATCGATCTTGCCCTTTTTCGAATCTGAACATCAATCAAGACGAACCAGGCCTGAGGTGTCAATCAATGATCTTTTTGTACACTTACACGGCATGTTATTTACCAAGATCCAATTAGACGACTTCCATGAAGAACTAGCGCGTTTTATGGAGAAATTGACGGAAGATCGAGTTTTATCAGAAAGACATCATCGAGTGAGCGATTTCGATCGACTTCCGACTGTTGTTGCTAAGCCAGTAATGTCAGATGCTAGTTGGGTGATGATGGCCACCATCAACATCTGTGCACTCCTGCAATATGGAGCAGATGATGGAGTGATACGAGTGAATCAATCTTTTCGACAAAAATCTGGTACGGACATGGGATCTCGTCACTTGGGTGGCAAAAGAGCAGTTGGCAAAATGACTGCATCTACAGGTAAAACATTGATGATCGCACCACAGGCCATCTTGGTGAATCATTCATCCAATACACCACCCAGTGTAATGCCTGACAGTTTAAACCTTCGACGTCCATCGCAATCGATCAGCTCAGATGACGGTATGCTTGCTTCATCTGTCGATCAACATTCCGATACCTTTTCACACACTGATAGTCAGCCCAATCACGAAGATGAAGTGATGAATTCAACAACGCTAATCGAAGACCAAATGAGATCTATTAAAGTCAAGTCAGATCATCAAGAAGTAGATGATGAAGGAGGACCAATAGTTTTTACTTTGGCTGCAAAATTGAGTTTTGATATGTTATCGGATGCATTACAGCCTAATCTTTACCGATTATGTCCATATGTGACTTTAATATTAACATTCTTAGGATCAATGAGTCACAATTCTACCTTGATGCGAAAACTAGAAAAGTTCATACCATGGATGAGGTTACAAGAATTATTTAATTCGATACCTGAATCAATTGAATTAAAGTCTACGTCAAATGAATCATCTACTCATAGTTCAACTGGAGGAGTATTCAAATTGATTGGTCATCCTTTACCAGAAGATTGGTGTTTACGTGGAATGGAATGGACAAACAAAACCTTATTTGGAAGAGGATATTGGAAACCTTCAAAAGAAGTTGATGGGCATAATAATGAATCATTTCAACCAGTTAATCGAAATTCTGAACCTGAATCAGAGATGGATGTTTTACTTTCTTTCTCTTCATGCGAAGCGGAAAGATCTCCAGATCCATCTTCTGATCCAACACGAAGTTTGAGTTGTGCTTCGTATGAAATGGATATGGATGACGAGCTTAACCCTGACGATAAAGAATCTCAAGAATCAAAGGCAAGTCGAGACGCGCGATGGAAACGGATCTCCTTGGTGGCTGTGTGGATCTCCAAATCAATCCCTGGTTTCGGTTTCGATCCTACCATGCCTACTCATTCTAGGTTTGCCATCTTGAAGAGTTTGAGAAATAAGATTCATGAATGGGACTCGGAGAGGCGTAGAGAACAAGAGGAAGAAAGGCTCTTGAAGACTAAACGGACAATCAGGGAGCGAAGGATAGTGGAGATTGATGAAGCCATTGATAACCAAATGGAACATGATGAAGATGATGACGATGATGACGATGCCGAAGACGATGAATTGGTCCGATCACTAAAGGTATGTTCAAATCATAATCTATGCTTAACTTGATAAGATGTTTAACTGTGTTCCTGTTGACTATCTTAGGCTCGACGACGTGAATTGAGAGCTATCTTGAACCAAGCAAAGAAACCGAAAATCTCCCGTCCACCCAGATCGACACCGGGAACGAATGGTGTCAAAGTTTCTCCAACTCGTAACAACCTCATCAAGGGCGCACCTCACAAACAACAACTTCGATTGAACGCATTACCAGGTTATACTGTGTTAAGTATTTGATACGAATATCTTGATTGGAATGTTATCGATCATGAAAGATTTGCTCGAATCGGAACAATGGACGATGATCATCCCATTAGTAGTGATTACAGAATTAGATGGATTAAAAAAAGGAAATCAATCCAATGGATCACAATCAACACATCATCAAAATCATAACAATAAAGACAGATTGAGCTCAGATGCAACAGAAGCGATCAAGTATTTAGAAAGTTCGATCAAGACCAAATCAAGATGGTTGAAGATTCAAACTAGCAAAGGGAATTATCTAAGAGATTTATCCATCAGAAACGAAAAGATCAATTTTCAAGATCCTCATCAACATCATTCAAATTATAATCAAGTAGGATTTTCAACTGATCATGCATATAATTTAGATGATTTAGTTCTGAGAGCAACTATGTGGCAAATCGAACATTTTAATCATTCATCAATTAAATCTAATCAAAATCAAAAAACTGAAGAAGAAATCGTAGAAGAAGATCAACAAAAAGCAGAGAAAGTAGTTTTAGTTACATTAGATCGAAATTTAAGATTGAAAGCTAGAGCTAGAGGAATCCTTGCGGCTAATGAAAACCAAATTATTGGATTAGTTGAACTTTCCAAACAAACTCAACTTGGGGGGTAATACAAAAAGAAAACTTTTTGGACGATCTTTTTCTTCTCATACTCTCTTTCTCCTCTCTTTTGTCTTTCTAACGGCTGGAAACAATCAGTTTTAGAAGATCATTTGGAACTTTTTGGAGATATAAGGAGTCAAGGAATTTGAACGTTTGAACTTAGACCCGGGTACGGCGATTGTATGTCTGTGTGTGTGTTTTCAAAGGGAGTAGAGTGAAATCAAACGAAGCAAAAAAATCAACCGCAAGATCAAATCACAAGTTCTAGAGCCAGAAGGTTATGTGTGTGCGTGTGTGTTTCTGGTCTGTTTTTTTGGCGCCCTCCTCTCCTCTTCTTTTCTCTATCCGAGGTTGCTACCTACACTTACAGCTACACACATGCCAACACCTACACACACACACACTATCTCTCTGCGTGTCTCTTTTTGGTTCATCTAACCTTTGCAAAAGATGAACTTATGTTGTTGATGGATAGGTTTCTTTGTCATGAGAAAATCGGTTCATTAACTAATTGAACTCTCGAATTTATATCAAACATATATCTCGAATAGGAAGATACCTCAAGTTTATCGTTTTTTTCTTTGTTTGATGTCGACCTTGGAAGTGAATTGAAACTTGAATCAAGAATAGGAAGACCAAATTGGAAAAGTGTTGTGGATTGGTTTGTTTGTTTTTTTGGTTTAGAGATGGGGAAAGGATTTGGTTATAAGAAAGGAATTTGAACAATTTCGATTTAGAACTTTGTAATGTTTTTTTTGTTTGGGAATAGGAAAGAAGAGAAGGATCATGGGGGAAGTAGTGGGAGATGGTGGTTGTTGTTGATTTTTTTTGGATTAAATTTTATAATGATTTATGAAAAGTTTTTTGATTGTTGTAGAAAAGAAAAAAGAATTTTGAATTGATTTTTTTTTGGTGTTGTTGATTTTTTTTCTTTATATCTATATATTACTTTTGCTAAAAACCTTGGCCCGATCAAGAAAAAATAAAACAGAATTAGACCCAGAATTCACCGCAGCAGCCACAACGCAGCAGAGAGAAAAAAGTTTGAGGGTGCTGTCACACGTGGTGCGACCTCCATTCCATTCCACTGGCCCGTCACTCATCTCTTGGGTCTAGTTCACCCTCACATGGCCATCTCTTTTGTCGCACACTCTGGCAAGATGAGCTTGTCAAACTTTTGGTAAGTCACTCTACGTGCTACATTATAAATAACATCTTATTCATCATCTATTGGGGTACTTTCTAACAACCTTCCATATCGTTTGATTCAGATGACCGTCCTCGCAACACAGTCTGATATCAGTGATTGGTCCACCTAGCTTTGTCTCACCATCACCTCACCAGCTCTTCCTTCCCACACTCTTTTGCGATGGGTTTGAGGTGTTGGATTGATTTGTGAAACCTCTCTGTCTGTACTACTCCTCATATGTTGATAACAAGCAGAATTTTTGTTAACAGATGAAAATAAGAGATGAGATGAAGATAAGAGATGACAAGCTTTTATGAAGAAGGGCAAGTTGATTGAGAGGTATCTTACATATCTCCAACCTGTCCGGTGCGAGCTCTGCTGAATACCAAAAGTCTGAGATGAAATAATTTATGAAAGATATCCAAAACGTGAGTGATTTTTCAACGTAGTTGAGATTGTCAGAATCATCGATTGGTCATGAAAAATATCACAACCAATCAATTCCGATTGATTCTCCTATGAGGCAATCCTATGATTGCAAGCTGAGAACCATCTCAGATCTCTTATGAGGGCAATAAAAGATATCATCGGGCTTCAAGTTATCCAAACCCATTCGATTCGTCTATGGTCCTATGAACAGGATCAAAAACCATTTCAGTTTTCTTGAAGACATTCAAAGTCAAAAATCGATTGGCTTTGCTTAGTCAAAACCAATTGACCTTCCTATCTTCCTATGAGGAAGATTTTGAACAATCTCAGCTCTCTTGTGTCATCTAGAGACTGATGTTTTTGAACAAGACCAAAACTGATCGATCCGCTTGTAATCCTATGAAGAAGATTGAAACAATTTCAATTTTCACACCACTCTTATCTACAATTCATCGATTCTAATTCCTATACAATCACAATCTTTGATAACTACAATTCATTGATTCTAAATGATCAAGCTTATCTTCAAATATCTGAAAACTACAACGATGGTACAATTTGTGTGTTAATTCCGTTTGATTGGATTTGACCTAGTAATTAAAAGATGTGATCTCCAGACATCAAACTTTGACATATTGAATCCAAACTCGAAAGGGTTGAACTTGGGACAGTATGATGGTAGTTATTGGAGAAGATACCTAGAAATGTTGTTGGGGATTATCAGCAAGTTGAATGAAATTCACTGAAAAGACAAATGGAGGGATTAATGCAAAAAAGCGTACCTTTTTCCTTACAGAGACCAGCCATCAATTGTCCACACTGGATAGGACACATTTCCAGGATGCGAGAAGCAGCGGGGGATTGAGTTTGGTGAGGAAAACGAAGTGCTGGCAGGGATTTTGAGAATATGAACAAATTTTGGCGGCAACGGGGGAATCAAAAGGACCGAATAGGAGGGAGATCACACCACATGTGACAGCACCCTCAAACTTTTTTCTCTCTGCTGCGTTGTGGCTGCTGCGGTGAATTCTGGGTCTAATTCTGTTTTATTTTTTCTTGATCGGGCCAAGGTTTTTAGCAAAAGTAATATATAGTTTTTCAGTTAAAGTTTGATGGTTTAAATATAATGATAATATTTACAGTTACTTGATCTTTTGAAAGAGAGAGAGAGAGGGAAAGTATAAATTGAATCATTGGTTTTTTTTTGGAAAACTTTTGATTGAAAGAATTCCAAGAGGTTTGAGTTTTTGAGACACTTTCTTGCTGGAAGTGGTTTATCTTTACCGTTTGGTTTGTTTGATTAATATTGGACAGAAAGGCTTGGAAATTCTTATGTAGGAGAATGAAATGAGACCTATGTATGTATCTGTTTTACTTACAAATTTTTGTTTGTGGCTACTCTGGGCTTGGACTGTATGTAGTGTGAAGATTTATCATTTAATCTGATTTGAAAGATTAGATCATGTTGTTTGTTTATCCTCTTTGAACTTGGTCTGAATACTCACCATGGGCCACTGTGTAGCAAAAAGCATGGAACACATTGGAAACACGGACCAGGGCTGGCACCACAGCACAGCACATGATCAAGGAACCTCTAAAGCCTCTAGGGAACATTACAATGCAAAATTGATAGTAGTTGGTGATTTGCCTATTAACTGATGGGAATGTGGATTAAGTTGAGACTGTATTGTCACATGTTTGTTTACTAACAGGCTTTTGTAATATCTACAGTTAAGATGCCATATGCTGTTGACCACATCTTTTCAAATTATTGATTTATTCCCATTGTCTTCACATTTTCTGTTTTCCTTGATCTGATCTTGTATCATCTTTTCTGCTCACTTATCATTGATTTTAGCCCAACAACTCTTTTTCATTCCCTGTTTTGTTTTGTTATATTTCTTTTTTCTAAAACAATTATTTTTTTAATTCCTATGTGTGTTGTTTATTGTCTTTTGTTATGTCTGATTGGTTATGTTTCTTTAAAATTTTCAAGGTTCTCTAGGTTATTATATTTTATTATTTAAATTCTTTATTCTTCTTTCATCAAATATTCTTAATGGTGTGCAATTTTTTTGTTCTATCTGTTTAAGCTTTATTTTTTATTCCTTTTCACACATTTTATTAGTGTTGCACATTTGTTATGCATATGCTACATAAGGTCTTATTTTAATTCAGGCAATTTATACCCTAGGCTTTTGGATTTCCCAAACCACACAGTACTTGCTTTATACCAAGTATTTAGTAAGTTTCAATGCATTCACATTTCCAGAAATCCATTGATTTGTCACAAAAAGACTGGCTTTTGGGTTGTTGACTGTTCCATTGGTAACAGATCAGTCATATTTGTTTTTCTCCTTGACAAGAACATGTTATTTGATACCTGATCAATTGAGACCCACCGGTGTTGAAACCTGCCTAGGCATTTTATATTATTATCTTATTTTCAAATTTGGCAAACTGATTTTTTTGATCATGAATGTAGCAAGATCCTCACCCACAAAGCATATGTTTTTTTATCAGAAGGCTTGCACATTCTCACTGCCTGAGCGGTCTTTGGGGTTGTAGTGTAGTGGCAGCAACATTGAGTGCAATACAACCCTGCAACAAGGCCTTGCTTGGTTCATCTCACAAAAGGCTGATTCCCATGATAAAATAGTAGTGATTCAGTTTTGTTCATCTTTAGTTGAATGGGGATCTTCAGAATAAGAAAGGGTCTTATTTGATAGCAAATTTGGTGCACAGATTGATTTTTTTTAGTGAAGAGACATTCATCAAACTTTATACTTACAAAAACCTGGTTCAATCTTGGCTTAAACCCCAAAAGAGGATTCACACATCATCCCATCAATAAAAAGCTAAATTTGAAATACTATTATGATTATCCTGTTTTTTTTTTGTTTGACACCTCAGGCTCTGTTGATTGCTGTCAGTTTTCCATATTTATTCTTACTGAAGTAAAGGATATTCTGTAACTGATTACTCAAAGAAAATCTTTACAAACAGACCAACAAAAACTTCCAACAAATGTGGTGTTGATCAATTCAATCCTTGCCCTCAAGCTTGTAAGTCAATTACTGTTGATTGTCAGTTAAGTTACTTACAAGCCACATTTGAAAAGCGCTCAAGGAGAATGGGCATCCACAAAATCCAGGCTAAGTGAACCCAGCCTCAATGTCTTTCATCTAATCTTTTTCTTCCTTTCTCAAGTTTATTTCTTCATATTGATTCATGTGTGAAGAAATGATTCAGTTTGATCACTTGTTCACTTCAATCGTCTTTACAAGATATATTGGAATAGTAAGATGACAGTTTTGATGTGTGAAATTTTCATAGACCTTTCTACTACATACATATTCTAGAAAATCTCTTATCCAAATTTTCAATCTGAAAACCTATGAATTTCAAAACCAACAATCATTAGAGATTTGATTTTGCTTAATGAAGGGCTCGCAAATACCAAGTTGGTCAAACTTTCAATCATTAACTTCAACATGACTTTTGTTTTTGTTTTGCAATAGAATAGAATTGCAATAGTATACAGATTGTTGAAAGAAAAAGCAAGTTGATTAAAACCGGTTTCCTAACAAAAAAATTCACTACAAAAATCTCTGTCCATCTTTTCAAAAATACAAAATACTCATACTTTGAGAGGCTACAAGAAAGATATTAAATTAGATTGTAGTAAAACAACAACAACAAGAAGAAGAAGAAGCAAAAAGAAAATAATGAAGAGTAGGTTGAAAAAAGTGATAAGGAAATGCTTGAGTTGAGTAAAGTTAAGTCAAAAAAAAATGCAGATAAATAAAAGTGAGAAGAAAAAAAAGCAAAAAATGGGTTTCTGTTGAATGATTTAAAGAAAAAACCAATCCATAACTGGAAAAGAAACCTCAATCAATCCAATATTTTAAGTCCAATACTATCAAACAATTGTTTAAAAGTACCATGATCTCTTGAATTCCTATTGATATGACAAACATCCATCGATTCATTAGTTTGACTCAAGAAGAAAGCGAAATACAGTTAGGTGGTTTAGGACTTACGTCATCCGATTAGCATAAACGCATTTAACAGAAGGATCAGTAACCACATGAGTCTTTTGATAATGTTTATCAGTCACTATCTTATCCTCAATCTTAATTTTAGGTTTAAAGACCGAGACGGCAGGTCTGAGGCTCAAATGACTACTGTATAACACATCACCCCCCAAAAAAATCAAAAACCAATCAGTCAATTTCATTCTTTATTTCATCAATTCAAAAAAATCACTTACAATCTTTTATTTTTGATACGGATTAAAGGAGACGGAATGATACTAGGCGTATCAACTTTCAAGTTAGATTCAAAACAAAACTCTCCACCAAGTTGAGTAAATGAACCTGGATTCCTAAATGGCATCTTATTAATATTCTAAAGAGAAAGAGAAAAGAAAAATCCATCATATTCATCAATCCAAGTATTTCTTTTTGTTTTCTTTTTGAAATAGAGGGATAAAAGTTTTCCAACTTACCAAGATAGATTGGGTCACCACTTTTCTGGTGTTCACTTCTCGTAAATAATCACCTTTTTCACTATTCTTACCTCCTTTCATAGTCCGTTCAAGTCCGAATTGTTTAAAAAGTAATTTATTTGAACTCGAATCAGAATAAATCTCAAATGGACAATCAAGCATTTCTAATGATTATCAATTCAAAAATCCGAATCGGTCTTAGTAAAGTTCTACTAAGTTTAGGTAATTGGAGCCAACCAAAACACTTACCACGATAAGAAGCAATCATTCTCCAATCACCTGTACCAATCAAAACGATTCGAGTACCACTATCTTTTAATTTTCGAAAAGCTTCTGTCCGTTTTGAAAACCTTTGAGACATCTCCTTAACATAAGTTTGACAAAGTGCACACCAAAAGAATCGAATAAAGATCACAATCGTACGATGAGATCTACCAATGATTTCTTTAAATGTGATAGGATTACCCGATTGAGTTTTCAAAACACATCGTTGTGCAAGTGAGGTAGATGATTCGTCTAAGAGTTTACGTTGAGATTGAGGTTCGTTTGGTTGGATTAGATCGGCGGTTGTGACTTCACATGCAGTGGTACCACAACTACTTGAAGAATGTTCTCGGACTACTTCTGTAGATTTCATGGGGATTTCTTGTGACATTAAACCTTGTAAACCATTTAAACTGATCACAGCCGTTTTGAGTGCTGCGATTTCTTCTTTCAAAAGTACCGTAGGTGCTACATTTGAGACTGGAGCTTTTGCAGAAAGTCTAGCAAATGAGGATTGGTGTCGTAATCCACTAGAGGATCGGTCTGGATTCGCACAGGCTCTTTTACAAACATCTTCTAACCATGAATCAAAACTCGCATCACGTTGTGGAGCACATAGAGCGCGTAATTCGTGGGCCGAGCTCATAGTTCGAAGACCGATTGGACGATTCACAGAAATCTTGGTTCGACTGATTGATTGTGAGGCGAGTGAATTAGATTGGATTGAAATGGCAACAGGCTTCGAGCGTCTGGTACCCATCACAGGGTTTCCATCGAGTTGAGACGTAGGATTGGTTTCAAGAGTACTTCTGCGTTGTTGAATAGGATTTGAAAAAGTATGAGACGATTTGAAATCATCTTCGATCATACTGAACCTTCTGATCGGAGGAAAGTTTCGTTGTTCGAAACTTTCATCAATCACTTGAGTAGAAGGACCAGATGGGCTTTCTCCATCGATCCCTTTGGATCGGTCGTATTGATGAACAGATAAACATTCGATCTCATCCGTCGAGTTTGAACAAATCGAAGCTGATCGAATCGTAGATTGATATTCAACAGATCTATCAGATGATGAAATCGAACTCCTTCTGTCTTCTTGATTTGATTCGGTTGAAGAATAATGTCCAGGAAAAGATAAACGGAAACCGGTGTTTCGAACAGATGGTGAATCATGAAGTACCAAATTACTTAAATTCGAATCAGGAATCTCAGTATCTAATAACGCATTTGAAACATATGATGGAGTTTCTATGAATGAACTAAGATCATTTGATGAACCGATTTCTTTTTCTGATGGAATTGATCTTCTGGTGTTCGGATCATCAATAGTATTTAACTTGGAATCGGTTTCGAAAGATACATGAAAATCGAGTTCGGATGAAACAGATGGATGATCAAGTTCATCGGTGAGGTATTGAGCGTTGGATGACATTCGGTTAATTGTTGAACAACTTGTTTAATGGTATTGGTATAAATTGTAAATTGACAAATTCCTTTTCTGATTTTAGTGACTGAGATCAAGAAGCGAAGTCAATCAGTCTTGGATTTGGATTGATTTGTAGTCAGTAGTTTGTAGTTAATGAAGTGATGTGGTAGAAGTTGAATTAGCGGATAAGGTCCTAATGGAAAGAAAGACCGTTAAGCCAGTGAAAAATGTATGAAGAATGAAGTCAATGGATGGATGGATGAATGGATGGTAACCTCGAGAAGAATTCAAGAAAGAATTGAGATTAGTATGAGATGATCGCTAAGAACTGAACCAGTAATAGAGTATTAGTGTATCAGATTTCAAGGGAAATTATAATCAACTCAACCCAGACTAGCTGGACTATGGTTTGCCTACCGGTGTACTTGATGAGAAGAGATCGATCTTTTGGCTATATTCTTCGAGTTGGCGAGAAGAGAACTTAGCCGAGCCCAACTCAAAGCCTGGTCCACCTTATTGCTGAACTAGTTGGAAGGATTTGAGATCTTATTGCAACAACAAAACACAAATTGCATAGATAGGAAACAAGAAAATTCAGTAAAGGAACAAAAATGCGAAAATATGGAAGGATGTGTTGCAAACCTAAACAGATAGGAACTCGGTGATGTAAAATAAGGCAGGTTAATGAAGAATCCTACTAGTATGTCAAGAATGAATCATTAATACTCTTGTATAATCAAGCAAAGTACATTCTAATTACCTTTAAACAACAACTAAAGTCGCCAATTCCTCCTGAGATCAATTACGCTTGGTGTCGTGGTGATCTATTAGTTGTTGGATCGTATGAAGAATGTATGATTGAGATTCAAGGATATCACCAGAAAAGGAAATTAATGAAACTCGAATGAGATAAAAACTGAGCACAAAAGTATAAGGAATAATCAGCCAGAGATTCTGATCAAGAAGACAACCTGTTTATGAAAAGAAAATCAAATACAGTCAAACCGGAAAAGCTTGACCGATTTTGCCCGCAAAACTCAAGCAAATTGGCAGGGAATTGGTGGCAAGCTTTTCCGGTTTGACTGTACCAAAATATAATTAACTTGATAGAGAGAAAACAAACGCAATGCCAACAAGTGGTCCATTCACATTGTGTATCAGATTATGAAGTTATTGACGAATTCGGAATTTGATTATTAATAAACTATAATCTTTAATTCCTCAATTGAATTTGTAGAGATTTCACAAAGACACCTTTTTGCAAGAGGATGTCCCGACTGTCCTACATCAAGACATTGGGATGGCATCCCAAGTCGGGACATCATTGAGATGACCTTGAGGTGGGACATCCTCATGTTATCCTTTGGATGCCATGGCGGTGTCCTCAGTTGAAGCACATCTTGGAATGCTCCGTGAGGGGGATATCCGGTGGACGTCTTGCAGGAGAGCGTGTCAGGATGTCTTGCCCTCTGCAAACAAAGAGGACATCCTGAATATATCCGAGTGTCCTTGTGGTGTAGCCATCACTCTAACTTAACTAACATACCGAAAGATTAAGCTTGAACATGAAAGAGAGAATTATCAAACAACATATGTAAGACTATGTTATAATTAGGACCCATCACAAGAGTTATTGTGATCTCTTACTTCAAGGTAATGTACACTGTGTTGTATACCAAAAGCTGAAAGTGGAACCAACAATGAAATCTCCTCTGATATGCTTTCTGCCTGCATCTACAAGACAGGCTATTTTGAACCGCATCACTCACTGAGATCACCGTGAGTCGTGACTGTAAAATTTCTAAGCTTCTTGATGCAACACATCTTGATCTGTGGTAGAGCCAGGAACTGACAGATAGCATTATGGATCTATGCTCAAGGTGGCATTGGAAATCATTTTTGGCCATTTGATAGAGGGGAAACCTTTCACGGATCAGACATATAATATACGTGCCACAAAAACGAAATGAAGCCACAGTTTCTATGTTCTTGCTTATTGGAGTTCCTTGTGTTCCTTCAATGAGCCTATGTTGATGGGAGATCATATTAGTTAGAGTAAGCTCTTTCAACCACGAGAATGAATCATAACTTAAGATAGATGAATATAATAAGCCCGTCAGTTCACAGCCATTTGACCATCACTTGATATAACCCTCTATTTTCTCGCCCCTCATCAAAGTCCTTTTCAACCCTCATTGTTTCCATAATATTCAAAGACAGCTTACGATCTAAACCCCGAGTCTCTTAGAGTATTTGACTATGTAGTTTAAACTTTCTCTGAGCTGTTTATGAGACCACAGGTTTAGACTTGAGTGCTCAAGTTCTTGTACATGTAACTTCTTTGATGATTAATGATTTTGTTTGAGCACTTTGAATTGGGGTTTTCCTGTAAATCTTGAACAGACTTCAATGGTGGTAGTACTCGATGATTTGAAAAATCAGATAATGATGCTCGTTTTGATCAATTAATCTGAACTTCATCCAGTCATGTTGGAAGTAGGTCTTGTGAAATCCGAGAAGTTGATGTGTCCTGCGAGAATCAGATTAGTTTGATTTGAATTCCTCCCAGTCAAGATCACATATGTACCATGAATCGATTTTGAAAGAAAGGTGGGTTGAGGTTCTGATTGGTTTAGCTGATCATCTTATCTTCACAAACCAGATTTATCAAGAAAAAAAGGAAGATGTTTCAAAAAAAAAATTGGATTTAATTTTTACATCAGTAGAGTTCAAGTCTCAAGATGATCAAGTAAAAGTTCAAAAGTATGGGTTTTGCAGTAGGAGAACCGGTTTGAAACCATGTTCTAATCCATACAAGAGATATGCTTATACCCAATTCACTTTCTTAAACCAAACTTTTTTGGTTTCCAAAATCCAAACAACAACCCATCAAATCCACCTCACACTTCATACTTTTCAACTTCAAAGTTCAAACACATCAGAAACCAACCAACCAACCAACCGAAAAGAAGAAGGCAAAAACAAGATGAAAACTAAAAGAACAAAAGCTAATAGAAGAACTATGCAAATTTATAATACTGTATTTAGTTTTAGAGAACCTTATCAAGTGATTGGTAAGACTTTTTCTTTTCTTTCTTTATCTTAATTCAGACACATCAATTTCAATCAAAGATTTAATAACTGATTTATCTTTTTCTTTTTTTTGATTGATTGATTGATTGATTGATTGATTGATATATAGTTGATGCAGATTTTATGATTACTGTGATGACTCAAAAAATCGATTTGGTTTCTAGATTAGAATCTGTTCTAGGAGGAAAAGTTAAACCAAGTAAGTTTCGACTTCTATAAACTGCCTATCCCAAACCTACTGAAAACCCGAAACCTTGACCAAACTTCTAGTGATTACCCAATGTACAATTTCACATTTAATCAATCTAGCCAAAGAAGGTAACCAAATCGCACAAGAAGCAGTCAATCAATCCAGATCCATATGTGAAAGAAGGAAATGTAATCATTGGAAAACCAAAGAAAGTTCAATAAAATGTATTGAAGGAATCATTGGTTTTAAAGAAAACAAATTAAGATATTTGATTGCTACACAAGATTTTGAGTTTCGGACTTTTTTAAGAAAGAATGTGATTGGGGTTCCGATCCTTTATCTTAATAAATCGGGTTTACTTTTGTTGGAAGATGAAGGTCCTGCTAGTGAACTTAAAAGACAAGAGGTCAGTTTCTCTTTCTTATTTTCTTGTTGGATTTGAGAGCTTGTTTTTGGGGGTTTAAAGTTTGATTTTGATGAATGGTTTTCTTTGGTTTCTTTATAGATCGAAAATCAAAAACTACATATTCCAAAAGAAGAATTAGAACTACTTCAATCCTCCAACTCCAATCCAACCACAAACCTCCAAATCATCAATACCAACCAACCCAATTCATCTTTAACAAATCCAGAAACCACTACTATTACAAGTAAATCAAATGAAAGATTAGAAAAGAAACTAAAGAAAACTAAAAAGAAAAAAGAACCTAATCCATTAAGTATTAAAAAGAAATCAAAGAAACCGATGAGTAGTCTTACAAAAAAGTTTAAGGATTCAAGTTTAGTTAAACCTAACAGGTTTAAAGAAGAAAAGAAAGAAGAAATTCAAAAATCTAAAAGGAAACGAAATCATTCTAAAACTAAAAAATCAAACTCGATTGAAAATTGAATTATCTTTTATGAAGATCATTTTGCAAACTTGAGTTTTTTTTTCTATGCTTTGGATTCATCTTTGTATTTGTATAGTTAGATATTTGAAAATTCATACTTAATCTTAACCAACATTGATTTTTTTTAGAAATTCATAATCTTATTTATGATTTATCAACAAAGAGAAACCCAAAAAATCTAAACCCAATTTGATTTCCAATAAATGAAAAAATGATCTTCAAATTTCATTTAAAGCAACCAAAGTCTTTTAGTTGATCATAAACTTATTTGAGACATTTTTCAAGATTCAAAAACTTGAATTTGATAAAACCAAAACCAATGTAATCATTTATTTTCTTTCAATTCTTTCCAGTCGGTTTACATCCTTTTCTTTTCTTTGCTTTTCTTACCTTTTGATTCATAATTTTGATCAAATTAAATTTGACTTTTTTAAAAGTAACATTTACTTTCCTTTTCTCAAAGAAAAGGATTCATCTTTTCTTCATATACACTAAGAATCGGTTTTTGTTTGTTACTATGCAATTTTCACATCTGTCAAATTTCAGAACACTAACACACACACACAAAAACAAAACAAATGTCACTTTTTTTCCCATGAAATCATCATTTTTCTTTCCTAATTTTTCTCTTTACAAACTTTTTGAAACAATCAACAACATGTTCATCTGTTTCTTCCCTTTAATCTTCCTTAATTGATCAAGTTCATCTTATACTTTGATCTCTTCATTTCATTTCGTTTTGTTTGTTCTTCTTCTCTCATTCATCATCATCATCATCATCATCATCATCATCATGCAATTCAATTCAATTTCCAACCAAACTCTCTTCTCATCTTGAATTTCAAAACCTCTTCAAAGATTCCTTTTGATACTTATTAAAATACCTACCAAAAAGAAACGAAAGATCAACCAACCCTTCCCTCCACAAAAACTTGACAACCGACGAAAACCCGACTTACTTCTTTGCCCCAAACCCAACCAATCCAATCAATCCAAGTAAAGTGCCCCACTTAATAATCCAAGCAAAAACCGTCAGGATCTGAGCACCTAAGCCCATCCTACCCGATCCGATCCCACCACCCGATCGGTTCCCTTCGTCATGGTTTGACCAAGCTGGTTTCTTTTTAGATGGGTTGTTTAAATCTTCTGGTGGATGATAAACGATTCCGGTAGACGAAACTGAGACTATGTCATGTGCGTCTGTTCCGAGGAAAATCATATATCAACTTCACTTTCAGAGGGTTTTTCTGGAGGGTAAGGGTAAGGGAGGGCAGGGTTTGGATCACGTACCACTTACTTCCCCTGTATGAGCTGTGAAACCTAGGATAGGTTTATCAGGTAACGAATAATTTTCAATCGTAAAACAATGATTCCATTCATCCCATTTCTCATGATGAACCAAAACCTAAACCGACGGCCGTCAAACCAAACCAAACGAATCAGTTTGTGTGTTTTCTTAGAGAAAGAGAGAAGAGATGGATGATTACTTCTAAGAATTTAGATTGAACATAACTGATCCTTAATTTACTGGCCACATCTGATCTTCTGATTGATAAAGAACATGCACCGGATTCTTGACCGTCTCCATCTTTTCTTACATCATAACTCATATATCCATTATTCGTCATTCCTATGATTCTTGGAAACGAATACTAGAAAAACATCCAAAACCAAAACCAAAACCATAACAAAACAGAAACAAAAACAAAAACAGAGACGGGGTTCGGTTAGGTGTAGGAAAGGGTTTGGGAGGAAGAGAAGGAAAGACGTACGGAGTGACGAGAGTTTGGAAAAGTATCTATAAAGATCCCTAAACCAGTCCAATGATCTACAACCAAAAAGACCCACCAAGAACAATCAAGATCGAGAACCAGAAAAGCAAGTAGAAAGGAAAAGAAAAAAAAATGTGATTATGTATGTTATGTACCAGCAGCACCAAAGACAGGACCGAGATGAGTAGAAGATTGAGTTAACCAAATAGCCATTCCATCACCAAAGACAGTAGAAGATTTTCCATCGATTTTAAATTCGATTTCGATTTGGAAATTCGTTTGTGCTATGGGCTGTCTTGACCATAGGAATCCGGCTTGGGATGATCTGTCTTGGGTTAATCTGATTTGTTTGTTCGTGTCTATGACTGATTATGGTTTTTTTTGGGGGGAATTAGAGTGATTTGGGAATTAGAGTGATTGGTTTTTTGGGTTTGAGAGAAGGGAAGGGATGGGGTTTACTTGTTGAACCTCCGAAATCGAACCATCTGTTTTGTAGATCTGAATCCACGTAAGCTGATATCCAAACAAAAAACAAAGTTAAGTAAAAAATAATGATAATATATATAAGATGATTTGTGAATTGAATGACTTACGAGCATAAATCGAATGACTACGAATCGGAATCGTAGGTTCAGTGATACCTTTAATAAGTCTATTTTTGATATTACCGTTTTCTAAATGTTGAGCTTCTGGTGTATGGTTTATGTTTGAAGATGATGATGAGCTTGTGAATCTGATTAAGGTGATTAGGATTGGAATTGAGATTGATAAGAGTTGAGATTGAGTTGATTTGATCATCTTGGATGGTTTGAGATCGAGAGTGAGAGGAGAGCTGAGGAGAGTTGAGAGTGCTGAGTTGAGAATGCTGAGAGTGAGAATGCTGAGTGGTTAATTGGTGGTTTATTTCTAATTTTTATAGTTTTTTTGGTTTTAATTCTCGATCAACTCAACTCAATCGATCAAATCATCATCATCATCATCATCATCATCAGCATTCTGAGATTTCTTAAAACTTGAGCTTTCTTTTCTTTCTTTAATGCTACAATCTACTGTACACTTTGGATTCTAGAAATCGTGAATGAAAATGAGAAAGTGAGCTACCTACCTAATTGCTGCTGCTAGTTTACCAGATTGTGAACGCAGTTTACCAGTCTAACCTATCTATCTATTTATCGAATCATCACAACTCATACTCTCTTACAACTCAACTTATTACAATTCCTTCAATCAATCAACTAAACCTTCAAAATCTATTACGAATCGTTGAAAGAAATCATCTCAACCATCCATCATTCTTCATTCGAACCTTCACGTTCACATCTTTCTATATATGCGTCAGAAAGACAATTCAAACAGATTATGAAGATTTCTTAAAGTGTTTTACAAGCTCAGTTAAAAAATAAATTAAGGGTACTCAAAGCAAAGTATGTAGCGCTACATACTTTTCGCTACATACTTTTTTTGGCGGGGACAAAGAAAAAAAATATACTTTTGGCCTCGCCTTCCCCGCCAAAAAAAGTACTGTCGTTCCCAAAAAGGTTGCCACATCGACAAAAATTTTTTGTTGAGGTGGTCTGTGCGCGCTGTCAGAATTTGACAAGAGAAGACAGCACAGAACCTCTCTCTCTTTCGAAGCTAAGGGCTTTGAAAGAGAGAGAGGGAACCCTCTTTTTGGAATCCACGACCCAATTCCTCTTCCCCCATTATCCGCCAAACCACCACGCCCGTTTCAAAAATCGATTTTTTAATTTCTTATTTAGGTCATCACTTCGACTCAAAAACAAAACAAAACGTTCGGCTCAACGCGGTTCCTTCATTACAAGACTCGGCTTTAAAACTTGATTGTAAGTCCCCAAAAACTCGGCTGTCAAAATTGAATTTTCACCGTCTTATTTAAGTCTTCACTTCCACTCAAAAAAAACGATAGATCTGCTTAACATGTTCCTCTCGACTCAAAACTCGCTGTTCAAAATCGATCTTTGCCTTTTGTTTTTAGTTCTTCAGATCACTCAAACCACTCGAGCCATCTGCTAAATTGTTTTTTACTTTAGTAGATAGACTGTTAAAATGAAGTCGATCGATCATGCGTTATCTAAAAGAACATGTAATTTTCCTTGTTATACAAAAGTTCAATCGATATTGGATTGTCATTGAAATGAAAATGTGATTTGTCTTGTTTTTAACAATTTTAATCGAACCGTGGTGAACAAAAGCAAACAAGTTTGATGTAATCAGTTGATAAATTGGAAGATGTGTTTCTCCAAGGTTTTGATCAATCGATCGAATGAGTTTTTAAAATCAAACTCGGTCCAATGCTATCAAAGCTTTAAATTTTTTGCTAATAGACTCAAGTCAAACCTGATCTTGTTCTTAAGAAGCTGATCGGGAACTTGGATCACTTCACAAGATAGACAAGACAAAGCATAGACTTATCAAAGCTTTACAACCTTTGATAGACCTAAAGTCAAAGGTGATCTTGGTTTTAAGAAGATGATCGGAAGCTTAAATCGCTTCACAAGATAAACGAGACAAAGCACAGATGGTGCTTTTATGATATCAAAAATTCCAAGAGCTTGTTATGCTTTATTCAAAGAAATTTTACAAAATTGCTTTGTGAGAAGAAAAATGGTAAAGTATTCAGAAAAGGAAGTTGTTTGCTATCGATTCATCATATGGACTTTGTTGTTAAACAAAAAAAGGGAGGTATGTAGCCAAAAAATTGGTCACTCGTTATCACCAAAACTAAAAAAGGTAAGAAAGACATGTTGTTGATTGTTATCAAACAAGAATCCAGGTTATCCAGAATTATTCAAAAAGGAAACAAGCATTTCCTTGTATGTACAACCAACATCAGGAGTAGAAAAACAAAGAACTGTTTTGTAAAAATCTGATCGGTTTGAATGAAAATGAAGACTAATTATCAAAACTCGAGTCGAAGAACTCCTAAGAACTGTTTTGGAAAAATCTGATCGGTTGCAATTAAAATGAAAACTTCTTCAGAGTATTTCTTAAAAGCCATTAGCGATGATGTGGTTTGGCCGATAATGAGGCACTGGTTGGTCAGGAGGAAATGCGAGGATGGATTTGGAGTCGGAATTCAGGCAGCTGAAAAAAGAGGGCTCTCTCTCTGTTGAGGCTATGGAATTCTTTGACAGGGAGATTCTTTTCAGCTCACGTGCTCACTTCTCTTGTCAAATTCTGACAGCGCGCACAGACCACCTCAACAAAATTTTTTTGTCGATGTGGCAACCTTTTTGGGAACGACAGTATATAGCAAAAAGTATGTACACGTACAGTCGTTCTCAGAAATGTTGGAAAAATGCAAAATCTCGAGCTGAGCTCGGGGTCCGTGCGCTGAGCAGGGACACGCAGATACAAACACTGACAAAAACTTTGATTTTGACAGGTATCTCAAGATGAAAATTCGTTTACTTTCCATCATACCTCGATGACCACACACCTATCTTGCCAATGGCCAGGCTAACGGACTGATCTCTTCAGAAAAACGGTGAAAACGTATGATTTCATGGTTAAGGGATTGTAACACGAGTTGAGGATCAGAGGAAGGATGGCATGGAGAGGACACAAGGGAGTTGAGGTTGGTGAAAGGGACACTGATCTCCACTCGACAGCTGCCATGACTTTTCCGTGACACAACCTTCACGTTCACATCTTTCTATATATGCGTCAGAAAGACAATTCAAACAGATTATGAAGATTTCTTAAAGTGTTTTACAAGCTCAGTTAAAAAATAAATTGATGACTTCTTATCATCCTTGCTTACTATGAAAAACTCGTTTGAAAAAATGTTCCGACCTATTGAATCAATGACGATTAGAAGTCGATCTTGAATGTATGCTACAAGATGACAAATTTATGACAGAAAGGAAAAAAACAAGTCAGGTTTTTGAAAAATTACTATACGAATTCACTGGATTCGAATCGTCATGGATTTCTATCTAAACGTTCATCAACTCATCATGATTCATAACTTATCAACCGACATTTCGTATCCTGATTGGTCATCTCATCGAAATCAAATCAAGCTTTGATGAATTCAAATCAAGAAGAAAACCTTGGTGCGTTTCTATATGCACCATCTACTACATACAAAAGATTTCCTTCTTGATGATTCGGTTTTAGAATCTGGTGGGATGATTCGGGTGAGTTGACGGACGGGATACATAACACCGGGGGGGAAGGCGATTTCAAAAAGTTGAACGCCCACCAGCCAGATAGAAAGGCAGGCTTTGTCGTACGCATAGTTACTGTTCTTACTTGAAACCTATTTGATTCTTCTGAACTTTTCTGTACAAAACCATAGAAATAAAAATCAATACAAGTTCAACCTTTCTGTACTTGATGAACTTCAAATCGAAAAGTGGAAAGATGTATGGTATCAAATTTACTAGAAAAAAGAAAAACTCTTGTTCACTTTTGAACCCACATCCCACATCCACAATCCACATCCACGTCCACGTCCACATCCACATCCAAGTGCATGCTATGGAGATACATACGTATGGCACCAAGTATGATAGAATCAGAATGGTAGGAATGAATTGATTGACTTTTTTCTATGTACAACCATACCACACGTATGTAAAGGAGTTTTTTTTGAAAAAATTGTAAGGATCATTTTCAACCACGCCGCCGCCGCCAAAAAAAACCCCTCCTTGATCTTTTCTTCACCCTTTGAAGTATTTACAAGTAGTATTTTATTTTATTTTTTCTTGAAAGCTTTGGTCGGGGTTTTCTTAATTTGTGTAACTACATTTTCGAAACTCTTAATCGTTGTTGGGAAACAAGTAGGAAAATCGACTGGTGTGAGTGTGAGTGTGAAGTGTGAGTAATTTAACTGGTGATTGTTTTTCCCTTTTGACGAGTTACTTGCATAGATAAGTGAGTAAGTTAGATACTAGAATGACTTTTCTTCATCTTCATCATCATTTGTTGTTATAGTTTATTTTCAACTCATTCTTTTTTTCCATTTTCATTACGTATATATATATATGCATACTGACTTGCTATCTGTTTTTTTTCCTTCTTTTTTCTTTTTTTTTCGGTTGGTGTGGTGAGTCATCAAGAAACATCATTCTTAGATTTTCTTTTTCTTTTGGTTCTTGGTCTGAAGGATTTGTTATTGGTAGTACGATAGTGGTGGTTTTTTTTCGAAAAGTGAATAATTCTCTTTGTTAATTATTAAATTATTACTTTTACTTCTTGATTAAAATCAACATCAAAATCAACATCAAAATCAAAGCAAATCAAATCGAAAAAAAAGAAGAAAGAAAAGATTTAAGGAAGAAAAGAAAATTCAGATCAAGTGTTAAGGAAACCAAATTGAATAAGTTTTGATTATCTTATCATCAAAGAACTTATCCGGATCGATCTTTTGGGTTTTATATATACAAATCTATATCTATCTATATTTACACATACCAAGAAGATCAAATGACATCACCTATCTTAAATACGTTACCTTCTATAGGTGATATTCTGGCTCTTTTACCTCCAGGTGGGAATCCTTATTCGTTTGGATTAGAATTAGTTGAATCAAGGTTAGTATACTGTCTGTTTGTTTGTTATAAATTCGTCACTTTTTTATAGAATCTTTTCAAATTTTCTAACTAATATTTTTTTTCTTTTTTCTTTTGGTATGGAATTCAAAAAGTGCATTTCCATCGGTTGAAAAGAAAACTTATCAAATCTTAATAGGTCTTTCGATCATTCATGCTTGTACAATCTTATTTTGTGGAACAGTGATAAGTATTCCATGTTGGAGAAAACATGAAGAATCTAAATCCAATTATAAAGCTCGAGGTAGAAGTAGAAGTAGAGGTGGAGGGGGAGGTGAAGGTGAAGGTCAAAGGATGATTTGGTTACTTAAAAAGTTTTATATTACTGAAAGTGAGTGTTGAGAAAAAAAAACTTGATTGATGACTTTTCGGTTTTGATTTAGTATATGAAAAATAATTTATTGATGGATAATTCTTTTTTTTCTTTTTCGTGATTTCGTTTGGTTTGAGTATAGGTAAAAAAACTTATTGGATTCCAAATACATGTAAGCTCTTTTCTTTCCTCACAACCTCATCCATTCATCTCTTTTTAAAGATGATCTTATAAATCAAAAGACTAATTTTATTTTCTTTTTCGATGATTTGATTTTGAAATAAATAGCTTTAGCCGTTGCGATTTGTCAATTATTAACTAGTTGTTTTTGTGAAATTTATACTTATGTTGATTATGCTTCATTAAAATCACCTGAATTTGCTGGAAAAATGTCATTAGGAATTTGGTAAGTCAAAAAAAAGAAGAAAGAAAAAACTTGAATAAAAAAAACCCTAAAAACTTGAAAAAAATAAGACTAATGTGTTTTTTTTTTCTTTCGGGTTGATAAAAAGTGTACAATTCATGTGGTTGTTTAACTTTTATAGTTATTTTGTTACATCTTGGGGGGCTTTAAATACTTGGTCAGTTTCTGTTTCTTTAACTAGATTCTTGAATTACGAAGCCAGGAAGAATGGATGATGTTGAAGCTTACATTTAAAGTTTCTTTTTATCAGTCTTTGTTTACCTCATCCATCTTCAGTCTTAACCAAACGAGTGATCTCTCAACCGATGATCCTATACATCTTCTGTACTGGAGTACCAATCCTAGTGACCATCATCACTTTAACCTGGAGTATTATCTTGGCTATTGCCTATCGAAAAGAAATCGATCATATCACTTTAGTTAGAGATTTACTTAGTAATGCTTCTAAGAATTGGGAAGCTAAAGTGATACCTGATCCAGATGAGTTTATTAAGATCGTAATGGCTGGTGATGAGCTTTTGAAATCTACTGCTCATTTGATTAATTGTCTTAAATGGAACTCCTTTACTTGGGCTTTTCTTTGGACGATTACTGGGATCGTAAGTTTGAATTGTTTTTCTTTACAATATTGAAATTATACATCTTCTCTTTTTCTTTGACTGATTTTTGGTTTGCTTTGTCGGATTCTTCGTTTGTTTTGAATCATAGTTTTATACTAATTCAGTTTGGCCATTAGTTAAACTTATGAAATCTTGTTCAAATCGAATGAGACATATAAGAGTTGTAAGAGTAGGAGACCATCCTAATCTGATCACACCATCACAACCATCCAGTTTAATTCCAAATTATGAAGCTCCAATTAATCATCAAAGTATTAAAGGTGTTGGAAAAGCTTTAAGAAGAGCTTATAGTTCGTCTCAAATTCTTTTAAATCCTTTTTTCTTTTTCCTTTTGACTTTGACTTTGAACTGAATTTGAAATTTCTTTGGGGTTTGATTTTGGTTAGTTTTTTTGGTTTGTCATTGTACTGTGATGACTATCTCAGTGGTTTATACTATCTTGGTTTGTCTTATTATTGGAACTCATACTGAAAAAGTGATTGTAGTGTAAGTCAAACTTCATTTAGTTTCTTTTTTTAAATCTTCAATTTTCGTTTATAATCAATTTATTCACTTTTTCTTTGGGGTGGTCTATGGTTTGTTTATAGGGCTCGTTGGCGTTCACTTGGGTCTTGGCTTTATCTTGTTAGTGGTGGGTTTTCGGCCATTGCAATGTTATTCCAGAGTGTAAGTTTCCGATTCTTTCAAAAAAACACATTCGAAATCTTTAATCTCATTTACATTTAAACTGATGATAATGATGATGATTTATTTTTGACAGTGGCGTTCATATACTGAGACAGATGTTAACAAATCCAGTTCAACTTGTATCTCAACCTCATCCATCACAAGTATAGATCTATACCATAAACTTTCATATAAACTAGGACGTAGACAGACGACGACAAGTAGTAGAAGTACAAGAACTGAATCGAGCTATTCGACTAGTTCATCAAATCATCAGATCAAAGAAATCGAACCGGTTCTTAAAGATCTTAGATGGAGTGATGAGATTTTGATTATTAGGAATCCAAAGATCTTTAAAAACGATCATGATTTAGAAATCCTTAAAGAAGATTTGGATCTTGCTAGTACTGAAGATCATCATGATGATTCGTTTAAAAGTTTATCTCCTTTAATTTCAATTTCGAATTTTAATAGGTAAAACTTGAATCACATAAACTTTTCGGATTGACTTGTTTACCTCCTTTCTTTTTCTTTCTTTCCTTTGAACATATATATACACAGACTCTCTCTCTCTTTCTCTCTTTATTTTTCTTCTTCTTTATAAGTGTATGAGTTTTTGGGATCTTGTGCTTATTTTTTTGGGGGTTCACTTATGATTATTTTTTTGGATCGTTTGTTACTATTTATTTGACTTGAAGATAATTAATCTTTTTTGGATTTCTTTGTTTGTGATTACTTTTTTAATTTATCTTTCTGTAATCTGTCTTTTGTTGTTTGTTTTGTTTTTTGTTTTTTGTTTTTTGTTTTTTGTTTTTTGTATGGGGTGATTCGAATAAATTGAAGTGTTTATAATTCTTTAGCAGGTTTTTTTTCCTAAATCTAGTGTTTCTTTTCTTTTCTTTTTGCAAAGCTTTTTTTTTACCAATTTTTTCAATACTAATTTTCGAATGAATGATTTATAGTAATTGAAGTTCAATGATTTCCTACTTTTGAAATTATTTTAAATATCTTTTTCTGATATTTGTAATTCAGTGAAACAAATTTGAATGAAGAGATTAAACATTAAAGAATACAATGGTAGTTCACAAGTTGTAGAAAATTAGAATTCCAAGGACTTAAAAACAAGTTCATCATCTTGAGAACTGTAGATATATGGCCCAAGTCTCTTGCATCTGAAGTCAAAAAAATAGATTATTGGAATGCTGTGTTAAAAAATGGACATGGATATGTACCACTTGAGAATGTAGTCTATCAGCCAGTACAGTCCAAACTGTAATTTCAAAGTTCAATTTGTCTGGCTCCGTTGGGGTGCATTTAGCACACAAAGGGTGTTTGCAATCTCTCAATTACAGCTCTATCTTGATTTCCTGCCCATTGTTCTGATTGCAGGTCTAACCTAATTATGTTTAGGTCCTTTTTGTTTTATTCCTTTTAATATTAAATCCCATTTCATTTCTGCATTCTACTCTTTTTTTATAAAACTACTTCTTCATGGTGCTTTTATGTGTCTCTGATTTTGAAAGTAAGTTGCATTTCAAGTCACTGTTGCCTCAACTTTCCACTTCCTGTAGTGTGCCTGTTGAGCTAGCTTATAAAAAGCTGTCTTTTTGCCATCATTTTGGTGGTAATATCATCCACACAGCCTGTCTACAACCTATCAATTCTCCAATCTTGGATATTTAATCATCCTACAATGTCTATGAAGTGGTTAGTCATCCTCAAAAATTAGTTTTTGTATGTTCATGCCATATTTGCACACCACTGATGGATCCTGTGCCAAATTCGGCCCCTAGCAGCCCAAATTCGGCCTAGCCCAAATTTCGCCCTTGACCGCCGGATAGCTGCCTGGCTGACGCCTCATTTGTGGCGTCCTAGATGAGCCCCGTCGGCCAAAGGCCAGTCCGCAATCAGCGGTCTGCGCGGCCACCACCTTTGTCAGCCCTGAGTACTCAATCATAGCACCAAAGGCTGACACACGATAATAGGAAAAGCTTTAAAAACAATAATCACAACCCAGAGTCAGTGTCAAGATTCAACTTACATATGAATTGACATATGTAACAAGTGTAAAACATATGTGGAGGACTGTGTATGTATACAACTTTTATACTAGGGGGTGTCAAGTTTGATTTTTTATAACAAAAAAAACTATGAAACGGCTAAGTTTGTATGTTATAACTCAAAAAAAACTTAGCCGTGGTTGTTTAATAACTGCTAAACCATGATTGAGGTTTTTTTACATTTTGGCCTCGATCATCCACCTGGTGAGGTGAAAACTGCTGGTAAAAGGATGCAAGGTTGTCCTGGCATCCACTATTAAGCCCACTGTGTCTCAGAGCGAATCGGTCAAGGCGAGCTCTTTGATCAAATGTTGTAAGCATAAATTGTTTACGTTTTACGCAAACGGGATACATAAATCCTCTCCCGTTTGCATAAAATTTGTGTAAATTTATGCTACAGCGGGAGAGAATTTTTACGGTAAAAACCGTAAAAAAACAAACTTGACACCCCCTACTTCCTAAGATTACATACATCTCACAGCTGTAACATGTATGAAACTAAGTAGAAAGATTTATAAATTATATGTAATAGAACCTAACCTTGGAACCACAAAGTTTAATGCTCATAGGATTTTCAAACTTCAGACTACAAAAACTCTGAATATGCAAACTTTGCAATCATGATGACATTATGATTTAATACTTTTCATTTACCCAATGAAATCCTCATCACCAACTAGATTAGCTTTCAGTAAGGTGAAATTTACTACCTTATTTGTGATTTTGTTACATTGTTCTTGTGGTTCTCAATTCCTTCCATTATTGTTACTATTCCTGAACACAGTATATTCATAGTCGTTGATTACCATTTGTAGAGTCAAACTATTCAGGAGACAAATAGTCCTTAAGTGCTGCTTGATCTGATTGGGATTTGGTCAGATCAAGGAACTTTGAGGGCACATTTGGTACAGCTTACAAAATTTTGTATGTACCTTTTAAAAGGTACAAACTTTCCGACCCCAGAAAGTTGATTTTTGTTTTAAGTTGACTTTTTGATGAAAGTCAACTTAAAAGTCCATAAAAGGTGAATTTTGTTTGGCAGCCAAAATCTGGTTGACCGTTCCAAATCTTCAAGGGTCACTTTTTCTCACTTTCACTTTTCTTTGTTTCATCTCTAGTTCCAGAACCACCAACCAATTTTTTACCTTTTTTACTAGCACTTTTCTCGTCTAGAGATTCAATCGATTCCGAAAAACTTCACAAAAAATCATAAACGGTGTTTGCCTTGCAAATCCAAATATGTTGAACTACTTTTCTAGGTGTTTTAATGACATTGGATTATATTGTTTCTGTATCGTGACTTTTGGTTGTGGTGTTTGAAGATGAGAGATTGAATTGACTATCAACAGTGCTAATGGACAATCATGTTGAATCACTTCAAAGATAGAAGGGGGGTATGGTAGATGCAACATGTGCGATTTGAAAACAACAAGTGAGTGAATCCAGATTTCTTTTGACAACGATGTTGATGTGAATTGAAGTGCGGACAGGGGGGTATGGAAGATGGGACTTGTAGATTTTCAAAAACAAGAAAAGTGATCGGGATGTTGGGTCAAATAAGTAGTGTATTGGAAAATAAGGAGCTCTTTGGCTCTTTATTATAAGTAGCAAAATAAGCTACTTATGGGTCCCATAAGTAGCTTTGAAAAGTTTTGAAATTCCGGTGCCAAATGGACTTTTTGAAATTTGACTTATGAAAGTCAAATTTTGACATAAGTAGCTTAAATTAAGCTCTACCAAATGTGCCCTAAACCTGTGTAGTACCTCTTTTAGTCAGATTTAAAAAAGATAATTGATCAAGGGAAGTTACTGAAGAACCAGTTTGCAGTTTTGACCAAAATACTAGTAGAAATTTACTCCCAAATCCCTTGAAAACCCATTCTTTAAAGGTCCTCTAACTGCAGTCTTACAACCCTGTTTTTCCGTCCTTAAACTTTGTAGCATATAAGCCCTACAAGTTTATTTCTTTTTTTAGTGATTTACTTTTCTCTGTTGTATGAATTGTAACTTCTCGTTGCAATCTATACATATAACGTGTTAGAAAGATGATAGCTTTGAAAACCACTATAAACATCCTGAAAATAACCCCAAAGGATAGCAGGCTGCTTTTGCTTGTAGATACCAACCATTACAGTGCAATTCATTGATTCTGAAATTCCCTGTACTCAAATATGTGGAAATTCTTGAACAGAAATTGCTGAACAATTTCATAAAACTTGGACAGCTAGGCTTTTGCTGGTAAATTTTGTTGCCTCAAGTTAAAACCTTATTTTGTACCTATATACCAAATTATGAGGTACAACATTAGGTATATTCCAAGCTTGGCAAACATCAGCATTAAACATAGATATATTTGGGGCCAAAAAAACTCTTTTGTTTGCACCAGGAAGGTTCTTGTATGAGGTGAGATAATTTAATAGCCTTTAATGTTGTATTGGTTGAGAAATCAACTGGCTGCCAAATATGTGTAGATTTGCAGTTAGATCAAGAGCATAGAGGCACTGGTGTATATGTGAGAGGTCAGCTACTTCCAGGCTGACTCTTGATTAAGAAGCTGAAGTGCGGATATAGTGATGTAATACCAATGTCTTCACTGGGTACACTCAAGTGTAGACTTCAATTAGTTGACCTCTAAAGAGAGGATTCAATACCAGTGGGATGGCAGTGTGATCCTTCAAAGGAGCTTAATCAAGAGCTCTAATGGTAATAGAGACTGCAGAACTTTACACTTTGATTTCTCAAAGGTTCAACCAGATGCTTTACACTCAACTCAATAGGTATCCTATGCAATTCTAAAGCTTGGTTCCATAACTATATAGTCCCACTAGCTTAGAACCACCACTTTACATATCACAAGGGCTCAAGGGAGGTTGTAGAACTAGAAGATCAATTACAATAAAATCACTTCACTCAATATTCTTGGTAAGAATGAAGTAAGTTGTGATGTGGAATTGTGGAATGATGCGAAGTTGATTTTTCTTCCAGAGGCGGGAGAAGAGGGGTTTAAACTTTATATATTCTAGACCTAGGTGTCAGCTTGTGGTTGGCACTTAGGTTTGTCATTCTTTGAAAGTGATATTTAAGTCTTGTTATCTAAGTGACTCTTGATACTGGGCCATGAGGTGTAATCCTTACGGGTTTAGACAATTTACATATATTTACATGTGTGTTTGTTAGTCCGTGGTCCTGTAAACAGGGCTCAAGGGCTGACAATAAGGGTGTGTTCACTTAAGCAATTCCTGGACAGAAATTGCATTCTGTGAATTTTTAAGTACAAAAATGAATCATACTCCACCAAACCAGCACTTTGACTGTTGTAGAATGCAATTTCTGTCAATTCCTGATCAGAAATTGTGTAAGTGAGCATGCCCAACCTGTTGTACAAGTCTCTCACAGTCTACAGAAAGACAATACACTGGTCAGATAATCACATAACACTTGTGGTGCTTCATGCCATTGCGACTATTTGATAAGGGTACATATTTGCATCTTTGCTATCAAGTTGTGAGGAACTTACCCTTGACCTAGAAGAAATGAGATGTGCCCAGTCTACAATTTTCTGGTGATTGACCATCAAAAAAATCAATGTGTGCAGTTATGGAAAGTCCACTTCATGAGGTCGCGGGGCAGCTATCCTGTCAAATCAAGTGTCAAGGATTGTATGAATTTGGAACCCATGCCACCACAACTAGAGAATTTCTGTAGTCCACATTTGATACTTTGAATAATGTATCCTGGCTGTACATTACATGTTCCACATTGGATGTGGAGTCTATTTTTCATATTGGTCTCAAAACACCATCTGAGTTCAATTACATAAGATATCCTTGGTCTAGATCTGATGCATTTACTATTGGTAAATGTTTTATAACACACACTGCATATGACTGTTGAATTGCATTTTCTTGCCCCATGGGTTTTGTGCTTGAGTAAGATTCAGGCAGCTTCCTCCCTTAGAAGTTATTTTTTGATCAACATCACAAATTTCAGAAATGCCTCACTCATCTTTAACAATATCAAAGCTACTTCAATCCTGGGGATTGATTGTCTTCATTTTTTGGATACCATCAAGCTGGGCTATCAAAGACATACTATTGCCAGCAAATGACATAGAAAGAATTTCAGAGGAGGATATATGGTTTGAAACTTTGCTCCATCAAGAAAACAACTTTCCTGATATTGTGCTACACACAGAACCAGATCATTTTCAAGGTTACAATTTTGAAAAGTTGGAATCTAACACACATGGGTACACTGATTTTCTTTACCCGCATGTGCTATCTAGCAATGGATTTATGAACCCCAGCTTGGAAGAACACTTGATTTGCTCAGGGGCACCAGAAAATTGGCACACCTTTCAAAATAATGACAATGTATGCATTGACCAAACTTCACCAGCCCTTGAGACCATTCTTCCCAAGGATACTAGAACAATATCATCCAATTACAACACCAATTATCCAATTCAAGAAGGTCTTGATAGTCACCAACACCTTGTTGATATCTGTAATGAGGATCAACTTAACTTGGACCAACACTCATTCTTTGGTCCAAAAAGCCAATCTGGAACATTGGAAGCTAAATATAAACAACTTCTTTCTGGCCAGGCCAGGCACCCAGCAAGCACTTCTGACCATATACACAGCTATGCAGGCCCAAAAGACTTGGACACTCATTATGATCCTGACCTGGATGACATATTTTCAAGCCTCCAACCCCTTGATAGCTCTGAATGTGATTTTTTAGGCTGGGCTTCACCTAACCGAGGTGTTCTTCAAGATGTTCCACCCTATTTTCATAACCAAATGGGGAGCACATCAAGTCAGATTATTTACATAAATGAGGAAAATGAAGGCACCAATACACATAGGCCAAGCCAAGGTGACAATATGGAAGCTGATGATACACTGTCTTATGGACCCCATCAATTTAGATCAGTAACAGACCAGACAGAATTGTCAAAAGGCAAGAAGAGGCTGTTGATTGAAGAGAATGGTCACAATGAGATTGAAAGGGGCAATGGTTTCCTAGTTGATATTAGTAAAGAGATTGGAAATTTGGAAAATGATAAACCTCCAAGGAAGAAACAAACCCAGAATCCAAAAGATAAGCTTTCACAAGGATTAATTGATGAATACATTGTTCCAGTGACACAAATGTTTGATAAATCTGCAGGGGCACAAGATTGCCAACATGTTGGTTCAATACCAGATACCTCAAGGAATTTGTCAAAAGATGTGATTGTTCCAGCTATTAAAAAAGGAATTCAAAAGAAACATGACTGGAAGAAGCCTGGCCAGGACACACTTACAATGCTCAAGGATATAGGTGTATATTATGTGGCTAATTCCCCTGTTTATGCTTATAAACTGCCCATCTGGTTCAAAGCACTCAGGGATGATTTGATGAAGATTTCAAGTAAAGATAAAAATCTGGGAAAGGCAGTGCATAAAGCAATCGATTGTGCACAGTGGTGGGTCACAATGAGCATGTTTGGTATTGTCATAATACATCATGACCCTGTATTAGATAGTTCTTTGCTAGAAAAAATGTTGGGCCATATGTGGGACCTCATTCACCCTATCTTTGAGCAATGGAGGCATGTGGGGATCAAGGATATGAAGCTCAAAGCACGTCAGAGTTATTTGCTAGAGCCCCTGTTCCTGTTTGCATACTTTTCCAAATTACCCAGATTGACAAAAATGTCATTGAAGATTTTGGAATCAATTTTAGTCAGATATAACCTAGACCCAAACACATCAAAGATAAATGTAAAGGAAATAGGGAAGCTTCAATGCAAAGCCCAGAGTATCTACAACCAAGACATGATGTTCATCCAGGGTGGATTATATTCAAGAGCATCAATAGGGAACCTTGAATTTGAGGAAATGAGATATCACAGTGGTCATAGAAATTTGCCATGGACTTCAAGAACTTTGAATAGGCACAAAATTAATGAATGCAGGTCAATATCTAGGTCTGCCAAGTTTCTTATGCCTAGGGGTTTCGAACTGTGTCAAAAGATTCACATTTTTTTTGTAGAATTGATTATCAACTTGCTGAACAAGTATAAAGTTAGTAACAATCTTCATCAATATTCAACTCACCAGATACACTTGTGCCATACTGTGGTTCTAGAGAATAAAGCAAAACATGAGTCAAATATGGAGACTATTGTCAAGGCTGTTAGCCTTGCAGAGTATAGAATAACAGTGGGTTTTATAGGAATGATAAGATCACTCTATGAGAAGCAGTCAACAGAAACCAAATTGAACACTATCCTTGATAATGGGTGGAACTTCCTCAAAAAGGAATATTCAAAGTGGAAGCTTTTGAGCTTTGAGGATGGAATACACTCAGTATTTTTCACACAGGCAGAAACACTATCACAAGAGCTGAGGTTTGAGAAATCATGGTTAGATCCAAGACTTTCATTCCAATCCCTTTGCACACATACAAAAGACCTGGCAAACCATCCAATATCACTGACCTATTTAAAAATGCTTTTGAAATCATGGTTTGATGAAGCTTCAGATCCATACCTAATGGAAGCACTTGAACATCTCTGTAGATTCAAGATTAGAACATACCGTTGCTGTTTAGATTGGCTTAATAATAAAACCCCTTGAAATTCCTATTTAGCGCTGTGAAACCACACCTTTGTGCTGTGATATCTGTGGGCTGTGTGTCCATGATGATGTTGCAAGGTAACTGCATCTCCATACATACTGTAAATGAAGGATTTAATTTTTGCTACTTACAGATCAATCAAAATACTTTTAGGTCTCACTGATCTCACACCTGAGCTCCCAAGATTGCAGTTGTGTCCAGGTGGTACTTTGTTATCCAAAGATGTACATGTTCCCCTTTCTGCCTCAAAACCAATCTGTGTGTGATTGTAAACCAGTAGCTACTACACAGACACTGTTTATGTTTCTCTGGCAGTGGTAGGAGCCCATCAAGTCCTGAGTGAATGTTCTAAAAGACATGGTCTTTGCATCCCAGCCTTCCTTGACACCGTGCAACATGGTCCTGTTTATTTGATCAGCCTACACTACAAAAGATAGTCTTTTCCAGGCGGAAAAGGAAAGTATTGCTGGAGAAAAATCTTGAGGCATCAGGAAGAGAGCGGAAATTCCAAAAAATATGCATCTTGTTCCTTGATATTGGAGCTCCATTATGAGTTTTTTTTGTATCTTACACACCAATATTGTTCAGTGCACTAATAATAAAGGTTGAAAATCATCAAAGAAGTACCTGTAATAATAGATGAAACTTTGCCCATGATTTCAAAGATATCATCTTGAATTCTACAAACATCAATGAATTTTGCACTTCCAAATCAAGCCTCTTGAATCTGAGTTCATTGTAAAGCCAAACTTATCTTCTACAATTGGTATTAACTGATTGCCTCTGTAGTGTGTCTACAAAAGATTCTATGTTGCCATCTACACAGAACTCTTCAAACAATTATACAGTGTTTACATCACAAAATAAAACCTAATTACTTCCTTGATGAAGTTTAAAGGGGATCAGTTCAGATTTCAAAGTACCAACAATTGAGTCCTTTAAAGTAGGATTGCAAAAGCTATTGGTGTTTATATATTGCACAATCTTGTCTTCACAATGATGGAGCAAATATCAGGTATTGTTACAGGTGGTTCTTGGATGCTTTTCAACATTCAATGTTAGTACATTGACCAATATTGGTGTTGATAATACAAGAGAATACTCATAGTGCAGCTCCAACATCTAGAAACAAGATGTATATTTTCTTGGAAGTTACCCTGGGCCAGCAACGCAGATGTTGTGTTCTGCGCTTGCATTGCATTGCAGTTTTTCTGAATGCACCACACCATAGAGTTAATTTTTAGGTTGAGGCCTAACCTGCTGCGCAAGAATATCCCTCAAATCAACGGTTTTTTTGGGCTGCAACAACCTTTGTTGTCTTACTTCCCAAAAAAACTTACAATCCAATGTTTTTTTCCTTACCTTTTGTTGTGGCAGTACTTACCGCAATGCAGTGTATGTTGCTTATCTTTCTTGTGTGTTGCGGAGAAACACAGCAAAAAATATGTGTCCTGTGGTGTGGTGCAGTGCTGGCACAGGGTTGTCTTTACCTGGTGTCTCAGGTTTTTTTTATATCAATACTTTTCTACTCTGCTTGAAATTTCAAAAAGATCATGTTTCTGGTAGTGCTAAAATATTTTATAAGACACAGGCTAGCCAATTGTTTACCCCAGTATGTCTGGCTCATGTATATCAGTTTGATTTTTTTCAAGGATCAAGATTCATAAGACTGAGTGGGACCTAAATTATGTATATTTATATTCGTAAAACCAGAATCACACCCCCTGAAATCCCTACTTACCTGTAATTACGGCAAGGCTTTAAGAATTTGGGTGAGTGAACACTAGAATCTCTCTGCTTCCCACTTACAACTCACATAAGTGCAGCTATGGGTAGCATTGATTGATGAAGATTTATTTTTTACATTCAGCTTATTCATTTATGTATCTACCTTCCCAATGGCATTGGTACTTCACAGCAGGAAGCCCGTGCAGGCTTTTGAAACATAGATGCTTTTTTAAAAGCAAGTTTTGCAAGCAGCAATTGCATCAACAAGCATTTGCAAAAAGCATCCATCAGCTTCAATTACCCTCACACCTGCCTGATTGTCTCATTTTTTTGAAGCACTCTTCAAAATCATCAAATCCTGAAAAGAAAATCAACATTGCATTGTGACTGATTAGTGCATTGAAGCAAAAAGGAGCCTGTGAATTTTTTTGATATGTCAATTGGGACCAAGTTGTTGCCACTTCTATCAAGAGCGTAGATTTTCCCTCTAATTGTCAAATGGTTGCTAATTTTCACATTTGGACACCAAGACAGAACTGTGACTGGTCCCCATCTGTGGGTCATAATTAACCCCATTTCAAGCAAAAGAAAGCCACTTTTAAAAAGCATGATTGCCTGAATATGCACTAACACATTTCTGTTGTTTCCAATTCTGGTTAACAATCTAATTTTGTTGAATGTGTTGGGACCAGCTTTGGGGGTTGTGGCTTGAGGAAAGAGGGTAGATGTAAATGACTATGTGATATAGTTATTGTAGCATGAAGAGGAAAGCATAGTAGGAATATGGTCTGGTACAAGAGTGGTTTGGCAGTCCTACATGTCACAGGTTGTGACAGCTCTATGATCCATGACTAGGATCATGTCCCCCTTTACACCCAGGCTCCCTGTTTGCGGCCCTGTGCTCATCCTTGGGGCTGGTATCAAAAAACCTGGTGGGAAAAAACCTCACCCCTACCTCTCATGTACACCATGTCCTTTGGTGTTCTTCTTCAGCCTTTGGAAACCTTAATTTGAACTTGTCAATCATTTCTTGTGCATTTGAAACACTGGCTTCTGGTTCCCATGAGTCCTCCAATCTACTGTACCCTTTCCAACTAATTGGAATGTGAAAGTTCATATGTAGAGGCAAACAAAATGTTTTGAAGAATTGTAAAGGCAACAGAACAGTGATTGTTGGAATTGGATCCTTCTGGATCACAAAGCTCATGTTTCTGCTTGCTTGGGACTTGAGGTAAATTTCACCTTCCATGAGACCAGAAGCCAATTGATTTTTACAGTCCATCTTGAAATGGACTTGGGAACTGACTGAGGTTACTTTCAAAGGTCAGTTAAAGATTTCAGAGTGAGGAAGTTAAATGTGACAATGTTTTTAGATTGTGATATGATTCACTCATTGATCCAAGCTGGACCCTGATTCTTCACAACACACCAATTCTTCTATTCCCATTGGTGTTGACAAAATCTTATGATTGTCTAAAATTGAGGGTTGGTCAGTTTTGTTTTCTTGAATTAACCACCCTTAGATAATAACTTATCTCCTTTTCGTGAATTTGTTTACCAATCCAACAATGTTTAAGGATCCTAGCTCAAAGTGTCATGGGATCCATTTTTTTGTTTTTAGAATTAGAATAAGATTCTTTGAGACCCAATTTTGAGTGGTTTGATCATCTTGATGTGGTACCACCACTGGATTTTGATATGTCTGTGGCCAAGATTGCTCAAGTATCAAGCTAGATCCAAGATTTGGATTCCTGCCCCAGAATTCATCTTTCGAAAGGGATCTTCCAGCTTGTCCTTCACATGTTTGTATGAAGGCCAATATGCACACTTCAGCTTTCCGAGTACCACAGTTTGACGTTCAAACCTAGTGGTTTATAATTCAGTCAATAAGTGATTACAGGCAGGATTGTTACTCGAAAATTGGAATTATAGATCATAAATGAAAGTAGACAGATTGGATATCATATAGTCAATCAACTTCCTATGTTCTATCCTTGTACATAATCATGTTGAGATCTCATAAATCAAATCAAATCTTTTGGGCACGTATCATGGAAGCCTGAAGGTAGTTTTGCTCTGATTTGGTGCATTTTCAATGCTCGATGATCTTTTTCGCTCGGTTGTTATAGAAAAAACTCAAATGCCTAGGAACTAATGCAACGATTGACTTACATAGTTTGTTTTGTTGTATATGGATTTGTATCTGGTTGGTGAAGTTTGGGCTTGATTGGTTAAAGTGGAGATATCCGAAACCCGAAGAGAGTACTTATATTTTATGTAAACTCAATTCAAATTCGAGTTTTTCGATTTCTTCAAGTTCAACTTCAAACTTTAGATTTTACCCAATTCGATCAAACCTCAACCATGAACTCTGAACAACTGCTTCACTCTACTTCATCATCAGCTTCAACTTCAAATCTTCAAATCAAAGATCATTCCATCAAACCATTCAATACGGAAGATGAATACGATTTTGAAGAGCTTGGTTATGATTATCTCAATGAAGTTAACGAAAACTTGTTATGTCCTATTTGCACGTTCGTTTCTTTTCTTTATTTATTTTTAAAACAAACATTTGATTGATTTTTTGATTGGTTGGTTGGTTGTTTTTAGAAACCCATTTGTTGATCCTGTAATGTGTGAATCAACTGATCATGTCTTTTGTCGATTAGTGAGCCATCGAAAGAAACTAAAGACCCCTACCAATATCACATCAAGCTGACTGTTTTTCTCTTATTGACGATCAAAAATAGTGTTTAATCAAATCGCTTGAACTTTCTCCTACTTGTCCAATCGATCGACTTCCATTATCGATTTCAATAATCCAACCAGCTCCTAAAATCATTATCAAATTAGTAGATGAATTGATGGTTACATGTCCCTTTAAAGAGAAATTTCAATGTTCATTTCTTTGTCAACGTTATTTAATTAAAAGTCATACAGATTCACGTGTTTGTGAATTGGCTTTTAATTCCAAAAATAATAAGAAATCTTTAGAAACAGATTTATCATTTCCTTTTGAATTTAATCATGAAGATGAAGGCTTTCAATTTGAATGGAATCAGGGGAAAATTCAATTAAAAGTTCATAATCCTAATCTTGACTTTATAACAAGACCTGTAAGTCATCTGATTCACGTTCAATTCGATTTGCATATAAAACTCATCTATTCTTGTTTGTCTATCACTTAGGATCAACATCAGTTTTACAAAAGATCTTATCTATCTACAAGTTCATCTCCTTTATCTTCAAGTCCAAGTTCATCATCAACCGGTAGTCCTCGAACTCGTTCGACTACTTCAAACTCATCCGAATCTACTTCAACAGCCAGTTCTACCCCACCCAACGAATCCAATCTGATCTCATGTCCATACCAAAGATTCGGATGCACATATACCTGTCAAAGTTTAGAAGAAATTCAAACTGTTCATCTTTGTTCATCATCATTAACAGCTTGTGAATTTGAACCGATTGAAGAGATTTTAAAAAGTTTTAATCTATTAGAACATCAAAACCAAGGATTGAAAAGTCAAGTTTTGATTTCAAAATCAAAGGAAATCGAATTTAAACGGATCATTGAAAGTTGTAATCTTAGTTTAAAAAAACTTTGGGAAAAGATTATCAAACTTACTAATGAGGGATTACCAAGTCGAAATTCATCATCTGCAAATCATCATATGAGATATGATCCAATTAATGGAAACCGAATTCAATCTAAGCTTCCTACTCAATTGAATTTGAATGTCCATTCTGATGGATTACCAATACAATATCATCAACATTTTCATGCTTTATGGAATAGGATTAGGGATTTAGAATTCGAATTGATCAGAGTTAATGAATCTGGACTAGTCTTACATGAATTAGTTAAAAACCTTAGTCGACTTCAACTTCATACTTCTACGTCAAATTCGTCTTCTGGTTCTGATCATCATGATCATCATCCACTTGAAATTCAATCCAAACCAAAAAAGAAAATGTTGAAAGAAAATGAAATTTGGAATGAAAAGATAAAGAACTCGGGTAGATCATTTGTAAAACTTTAAAAATTGAAAAAAATGAAAAAATCTCATCCCGGAATATCTTTTTGGTGACTTTATGAAGCAAGAGTGTGTTTCTTTTTTTCTCTTTTTTTTAAAAAAATTGTTCATTATTGTTGTTGTTGAATCCCATTGTTTTACTTTGCTCATTTAAAACCCATACAAGTCATTGAATTCTTTATCTATTGCTTTTTTAACTATGATTGATTGACTGTTTTTTTTTGCTAGAATTTGTTTTATTAAATCAAAATCATGTTGACAAAAAAAATCTAAAACTTGTAAATTGAATTCCATTTGTTTAATATCATGTATTATCATTTTCAAACAAACAAACAAACAAACAAACAAACAAACAAACAAACAAACAAACAAACAAACAAACAAAAAATATAAAAAATATAAAAAAAATCAATTGGATTTCTTTTTTTCTTGATTATTTTAAGGTGTCTTTCTCCTTATTTGATTTGGTTATTATATCAGGAAAAGATTTTGGTTTGGTAGATTTAAGAGATTTTGTTGATGGGTGAAAAATTGGTGTGTTTATTTGTAAGTTGCAATGGATTTCACAAAGTTTTTAATGTACAGACTAGGATAATTGATTGAGGACTATATACACAGTACTGGTGAAGTATATACATGAGATCAAAAATATGACAAAAAAAGTTGAATTCAATTTACAAAGAAGATATCTTACAATAGTTTGATAGATGTTTTATTTTTCTTGTGGTATGGTGGGTTTAAGAATGATTTTAGATATCCTTTGAATAATTTAACATGATTTGATGATCTTCTTTTTTGGTTCTTGACTGATCATCCCTGTCATCTCACTTCAAGTTCTAGGACCATGGGTATACTATTATCTCACATAACCTCTTCATATCTTAATACAAGAGAATTTTGTTTTTTAATGAATCCCTACTGTTGAGATCTTTTAGATGAGGTTTGATCAACGGATGTTCAGTATGTTTATAGTTGAGATACCAGAGTGAGTATTCTGTTACACTTGGTTTAAATATTCTTAACTTACAATTGGGTGGCACGGATTGCTTTTAGTTTCGAAGAGAAGATTGATGAGATTGAGAGTTCAATCAGTTGGATGAAGAGATATGAAGTACACTGAAAAGTTCAGGTTAATTTTTTCTGAATACTACCCAATGGATTGCACGCATCTTGGGAGGATGCTTTGGAATTTCAAGTGTCAAGTGAATGTTGTATTAACAAGATGAAGTGTCCATGGGGTAAGTAGTATTACAGGACAATGCGCCTTGCCAATGGGACATACAAAGAATGAAATGATAAAACGGATGACAAGATGCAGGGTAGTAATAAGAAGCCAATGAATGAAGAACAAACTGATAAAAAAGCACTTAGAGAAAATCACCAAGAAGACCATGACCACTGAAAAGATGTGAAAGATCTAAGCTCAAGAGAACTTGAAGGTTGATACCAACGATTGCAAAGAGGTGAAGATTAATACCGATGCTGACCAACAAGCTAGAAACGTTGATGTTCAAAGAGATTAGGATTCCAACAACAACACGGAGACAAGAATGAAGGATGTTAAAATCGGCTGATACATAGAGAAAACAAATAAAGAATATCAGTATTAAAGTAAGAGACACAAGAATCAAGATAGGAATCAGCCACTGACGTTGACATTGTGGAAGATAGCTACTGTAGCTCTGGGTGATGATGGTGATCATAGATTGGAATTGCTGAAAGACTGGTGTGATGGCTGATGTAAACTGTTCAAAAAATTCATTCAAGATAAATATTGGAGGGTTTGAAACTTATAATATAAAAGAAAGACTTCAAACTAACTTGAGCAGCATGAGATGATTCGCACACATCACATCCACCAATGTTGATAAATTGAATGACCATGGCTTGGAATTGAATCACCATCGTATGAATCTCGTATGAGATTTGTTGGAATTGATCTCCACTCGAGCTCCATTGTGAGAATGTGTTTGCACAAATCGTTCCAAAGTTTTGAAATCCTTGAGTAAGCTGTGGAAAACTAGTGAATGCTTGGTTTCCAAAGACAACACCGCTTGACCAAGTTGCTTGAGTAACCGAGACAACTCCTTGAGATGAACCACAACCAGAGAAACACTTTTCGTTTACTGCAATTCTCTTGTTACTATTTGAAAACCGGTTAAATCATCAGCCAGATGTATTGAACAAATCATCAGAGACAAAAATTTACTAACGTGTTTTGCTCAACAGGTGAAGCGGCCGCAAATGCTAAGCAGAAGCAAGATGACAAGAAAGATGATCAGAACCAAGTCAAAATTTTCAAGCAAGGAACCCAGACTTACCGACGAGAGCAGCAACAAAGAAGGTAGACGTGAATTGCATGATGTCGAGTTGATTTGTAATATTACAAAAGTGAGTGAAGAGGAGGTTTTTGGATTTTGATTAGGAGTCAAGGTATGAAACAGATATGAACAAGATGATAGGATGATGAGTGGAATGAAGCACAAATAATCTAGTAAGCGGTTGACCCTTTTATACTCGATCAGCTAGCCTTTTTCACTCTAGCTTCAGCGTGAACTCCAAAAAGTCAAGCGCGTTGACCTCACATTGGAAATGTGTTCCGATTGGTCAAGTCTCATGGTTACTTTCCAACCAAACTTTCTTCTTAATCTCCCGGTTCACATCCTTCTCCGTCCTACAGTCTGGTCTTTGCCTCTTGAATATCAATTTGGTCAAGTTCTATTTAAGATGGACAAACGATTTGATTTGGAGTTTTGAAACTTGACTCATTTTGAAATCTTTATACCGCGACTGCACATCCTCTTCTGATTCGCATCAATGGCCATTCTCGGAGTCGCAGCCACCACTAATCTCTTCTATATATTAACCAATACATCAAATCAAATCAAATCAAATCTTTTCTTTCTTTCTTTCTTCCTTCCTTTCTTACTTTACTTGTCTGTTCAAGCAGTTTTTGCAAACTGAACTGTTAAGTACAATACAATGTTTTTGTTTTTAAATCAGAGCATTCCATGCAGAATGTACGCAACCATTTTTTTACTTTTTCGTAGGAAAGGAACAGACAGAGATCTCTTTGAATAGTAAAGGATATTGATGAAGTCTATCGAACAAAATATATTTCTGAATTACAAATCTTTACAAAAAAACAATCTTTTTCAAGTAAATCTTCATATATTCAATTATATATAATCCTGAAGAAGTCAGATTGAAAAAAAGTTTGAATCTAGTTCATATTATGTAGAACCATTTCAAAATCATACAAAGAATGCAATCAAGCAGATTTGTACAACACGCAACTCTCTGAATTCCACAATTTATATCAAAAAAAACTTGTTTGTGATCAAGAAAATTAATCCTCTGCTTAGCATCTTTGAGTTTGACCACACAACGTTTGCCAAGTATTTTAAGATTAAGATGGATTTAGAATTCTAGATTAAGCAATTAATGAGTTCAGAGCTGATCGAAATGAAGAACACTAATTTTCAATCAAAAACTTTGAATGAATCTAGTATACTTAAACGATTGGTTTTTTATATGAATTATTAGATTCTTTTTTTCATATGTTTATTTACATACATACTTTTTTTTGGTTCGGATCACAACAAGTGAAAGGAAACCTCTCGGTATGGTATCATTTCTCGGTCAATGGGGTATCTAAATCCAATTTCTTTGGCATTGGTAATCCTACTCGATTCGCAGTCCTAAGAATGCAGAACAATCGTACAGTTGATCAAAGGGAGACCTTCGGTTCAAGTAATTCGAGAAAATACTTACGCTTTTAATCTTTCTGGTTCATTTAAATCTCCAACTGGATTATATCGTTTTAAAAGATCCTTTTAAACCGCAACCCAAAAAAATATCTTCCGAAAATATTATATAATGAATATAAAAAAACAAGTAGTTTACTTACATTATAAGATTTGGATGCATGAAGGTATTGGATTATAGGTTGAATGTTTTGGGATGGAAGTCTTGATAGTTGTCGTAAGTAATGGTTGATTGAAGTTGGAACTTTTTTGGATTGGTTGGTGTTTGTTGATGTTGATATGTATGTTCGGTATAATGATCTATAAACTGATTTGATTTGTGAGCTTGACATTGTTTGTTGATCGAGAGGTTTGAAAGTTAAGAGAAATTGGTGCTGATGTGAATGTCAAAGGCGCTGGCTGCTTTAACATGCAAGTCGAGTTCAGCTTCTGATCCGATCCGATCCGATCCGATCTGACACACACCACTCAAAATTATCCTTATGACTCGGGTCGAGTATAAATATTTACAAACTTTCAAAGAGTTGATGCAAGAAACAATAATCAGATCGATCCATAATTTATAACATTTCAACAAATTGCATATTTATCAAGGTGATGGGTCGAATTTCAATGCCACAGTTACCTCCCTTGAATCCTTCATTCAGGGAGACGTCAAAAACAATTAATGAACTATCAAAAGCTATTCAAACTCTTACTTCTTTCTTTCTTAATTCTTCTAATTGTATTGTCATCACCGGTGCTGGTCTCAGTGTCGATTCGGGTATAAGAGCTTATAGGTTTGATATTCTTTTCAAAAGTTTGTGCACAGATTCGGTCTAGTTGGGTCGGTTTCTGATGAACATCTTTCTTTGATAATTCGTTTTTCGGGTTTTTTTGGTTGGCTTACTTGTGAATATTGTGCAATGTGTGACATGATTCACAGAGGAAAAGATGGGGTTCGTGACATATTTTGGTTAGATTGACAGTGTCTCTTTGGAAGCTCGGTGGATTATGAAGAAATGTATAGGATGAAACGTTGATTGTCTTGTTCTTTTTGAAATCAAAGTCTTATTCGATCAATAAGACATATCGTCCAATCTTTTTTCAGTTTAGTATTTCATTTTTTGAATTTCTTAGATTCCTTTCGGGTCTACCATACTTGATCAACTGACTGATTTTGATTTATCAACCGAATTCTTTTTTGTTTTTTCTATAATCAGTGAATTTCAACAAGTTGAGCATTTCTTATAGAATTGACTTAAATAAATTCATTACGTTTTGTGGGCCAAAAACATCACATACTAAGATTATGATCAACAACGATGACCCAAAAAGTCTGAAAGTTTTCGAAAACGATATTGGGCAAGATCGTATTTAGGATATCCGAGTGTACGTGATGCAGAACCTAATATTGGACATTATGCTTTATCAGCTTTAATGAAGATGGGATACGTTAAAAAAATCATTACTCAGGTTGGTCAGATTCCTCCCTTTCTTACTCAAAGAAATTTTATGTCTGTTTTTGTTGGCGGCTTTTGAACTGATGTTGATTTTGATTTTGGATGAGATTTTTGGGTGTAGAATGTTGATAGGCTTCATCATCGTGCTTCTCTAGATGATGAAAGCGTTTTGAATCATCCTTCTATTCTTGAACTTCATGGAACTCTACGATTTGTGAATTGCTTAGACTGTGGTCATCTTATAGGTACCTTTTATCACTTTGGAAAATCCTAAGAATGATGGTTCTACACTCAACTTTTGAATTCGATCTGTTTTTTATTCAGATCGGAATCAGATTCAAGATCAATTATCGAAATTGAATCCTGATTGGGCTGATCATCTTGATCAACTTGCAATTGTTGGTCAAGAGATTAAAACTAATCCAGATGGTGATATAGATTTGAATGATAGATCATATGATTCTTTCGTTTTACCTAGTTGTTCAAAATGTTTAACTGGAATCTTAAAACCTAGTGTAAAGTTTTAATTCGGCATTTTTCACTTTCTTTCCTCGTCTGTCCATTTCAAAGCTAACTTTGTATTGGATTGTGATGTTTTTTACAATCATTGGATTTTTGAACAGGTGACTTTTTTTGGTGAATCACTTCATAGTAACATTAAACCTAAAACAGAAGAAATTATTTCGAATTCATCAAATTTGATTGTCCTTGGTTCATCACTCACAACTTATTCAGCTTTCAAACTTGTAAAACAGTTTAAAGATCTCAAACCACATTCTCAGGTTGGATTAGTAAACATTGGTAGATGCAGAGCAGATGAGATTGTAGATTGGAAGATTGGAACTGATACTGATGAACAAATTGGATTAGGTTGTAGTGAGGTTTTAAGAGCAGTTGGATTAGAACTTTTTCAGAGAGATTATCGTGGTATAGGAAAAGAAAAAGAAGTGGTTAGGAACTTGTTGGAAAGTGGGGTTAAGAAACCTGTTCTTTAGATCTTTTGGGGGTTTTAGTTGGGTCTGAATCGTGTAGTTTAGTTATTGTTTTTTTGGGTATAATTCAAATAAAACTTTATAGAGATGTAGACACTGATTTTAATTGACAAAAAGATGTTGAACCGCTTTGATCACTTCTTTGATCTTGGAGGTTAATTGGTGTCCATTTGATATCTGTGGCTCAATATGTTGTATCATTGATGTATCTCGGGTCTTGTGAAAGCAGTTGATGGGAGGATTTTATGTAACATGCAGTTGATTTTTTTTGAAGACAGTTGAGTTGAATAGAGGCGTATGTTCCCCCGAAGACTTGATGGGCAAAGGACTTAATGGCACAACCAAAAATCTTGGAAACTCCTTTACTGGAATTTTGGTGATTAAAACTTTGGAAAAGTAGCCTCAAAGATTGTGAGGTTTTAAAGTCTCAAGATCACTGGAGCATGAGATAAAGTAAAGCTTGTCTCTATTCTATAGTGTTTATAAGGTGGTATCCCATTCAAGTTTATGAAAAGTGACAGTTGTCTTATTTGATTTGTATTGATGAGTTGTACTCGGTGATGGTTCATGAAGATGAATTTGATAGATACAAAGAAAGGAAATTCGAATGAATGATATGATTTGTAGTAGTTACATGCGTGTAAATGAGTGTATCTGGATTACATAATACGAAAAGCTGCCTTGAACATAAAGAAAGCAAAAGTAGAAAGAAATGAGAGGTAAGTGAGGTCCCAGATGAAATACAAGTCAAGATTTTACGATTCTATTCTAATGGTAAAGAAGTAGTTCGCAAAGGTGGCAATTCTGGTGGAACAGATAGTGATGGTGAAGGTAAAGGTAGAGGTAGGGGTAGGGGTGTCAGAGAAGGTGAAGCAAGAGGTGTGGGAGTTAAAGGAGCCAGAGTGATATAGATTACTGAGTTTTCTCGAATTGGATCAAGGGTTTGAAATTGAACCTGTGGTGATCCAATTGTTGAGACAGAAGCGATGCTGCTTGCAGGTGCAGATGACTTTGGTCCAGGTGTTTGCATGTGTAGAATTGGATGTGAGATCTTTAACTTTTTGTTTGACCCTTCCTTTGAAAGTAGCATCTGGCCCTGCATTGGTGATAAGCATTTTGAATCAGTTTACATTACTTTAGCGATGAGAAATTCAGATGTCAACTTACACTTTGAATAAGTAAAGATAGAGAGAGAAAGGCAGCGCTAAAAACGATGACCCAAGCGGAAGTGACTCGCCATGCAGGTCTATAGAATAATTTGGACGGATGAGAAAACGCCGGTGTCCCGAAGGAAGAGCAACGGGGTAAGAGGGAAAAGCCTTACGTGACGAGAATATCCTCAGCTTTGATGGTCAAGATCAAACCAGTAACTACGTACCAGAGTAAAAGTAAGGTAACGAGCATACATCGGGCCACGAGGAAGACTGAACAAGAAGAAATAACAATAAATCTCCAGCAAAAGATTGAAAGACTTGAATCGATCAAGAAAGAGGACTCAACTATATTTCCTTCGTAACTTTTTGGCTTGTAAAATCGACATGGTGGCTCGATCATCGGTTAAAAATGTAGCTTCACTATGACCTTTTTCCATCTCAAAGTCCAATGAAAGTCCAACAGCTGTTTCACGAGCGACAGCAACTGACTTTTTCATGAGTTTGAGAAGGAGGACAACGGTGACAGTGTAAAACTAGAGGGAAAAAAACCGTGTACAAAGAATAAGTTAGCTAACTTAGGGATACATATTGAACTTCAAAGGGTGGAAAACGTGACTTACAATTACGGCAATGATGACGAAAAGGGACCAGGCCAAGCAAGCCCCCTTGAAGTGCCTAAGGAAGAATTGACTACTGTCGTGAAAAGGGAATACAACGCTCGTAAGAGTGTCATAATCGATGTGACGATTGATAGAGGTGGGAGGAGTCCAATGAGCAGATAGATCATCGAATGTAGAGATGAGGTTTACAAAGGCTTCCTGTTCGGAGCGAAAAAAGAAGAAAGACGCGATGCCATATCCGCTCGCGACCAACAAGACCACAGCAGGTACACCGATGCACAATGTGTTGAGTAGAAGCGGGTGAGGGATGGTCTTTTTTGAGCTCCCATTCCGCTTCACTGTCTTGCCCGGTGCGAGGATACTAAGAACAAATATAAGCAAGACTGGTTCTGTTGATGAATTGAGAAGTACTCACTAAATGTAGAGTGCAGACCAGCCACTAGAATTGCAAAGTACAAGTCAGATCCAATCTTATACGAAGGAAAGATGACAATCAATTTACTTACCTGAACCAAAATCCAAAAAAGCCTGGGACGTAGGATACCACAAGCCACATACTGATATAACTACGCTGCGAGAACTGGCTCGACTGAAAGTTCATGTAGCTCAGCACAATGAATATCTCGGCGAGGATGCTGGCAAAAATTTGTGAAATGGCGACGGCCATACCAGGATTAGGGATATAATAGGAATAGATTTGATTATCTGAAGACCAATATGAATCATCATTGAGTTGTTATAATCGGAGAAAGTGCAGAGTGAAAGTAAAACATACTTTGTGCAACACGTTCTTTCTTCCAAAGCCAAAGGTGTTTCTGTTGAAATGCGTGATTCCGAGTGAATGGAATCACCACGAGTGAAACCGCAAGGCAGAATATGACGACGTAGACTACGGCGAAGGTGATTAGGAGACCGTATACTGGATCAGAGGATGGAATAGTGGGAAAAACCACTGCCTGCATTGACTCTTTCAAATATTCGTAAGGATTGACCCTGGGAGGAAGCTGAGGCAGCGACTGTAATAATCGAATGCTGCTCATGATGGATTCTGTGGATGAGTGTAAAGGTAGGTGTAAGGTGAAGATAAATTGAAGAAGCGTTTGTTGACCAACGAGCACTCGGGGTGATAACTGAAAAATCGGGCAATGGACTATGTACGAGTTGAACGTTGTGATGTCAAAGTGTTGTTGATTATTTTGTTTTTGCTGAAAAGAATGCCAGACTTCAATGACCGCAGCGAGTGGGTCGAATTGAATAAGGTGAAAGGTAGGAGATTTGTGCAGCGTTTGAGATGTGAACATCAAACAGTCAAGTTGACTGTGGTGGACCATTGGGCCAGCCTGGGCCACAGTGCTTGATAGCCGGAAGGCTCTCATAAACACCCGTCAACAACACCCTAAAGCAATTATATAAAAAACAGTCAATAATCTTCAACCAAGTGCTTGAAGAGAGCTGGAACGGTCCAATTGCCTCAGAAAAGGAGTGCGACGTGCAATTGGAGTTGCAGTATATACTATGATGAGACATCCTCGATTACAAACCAGGACGACCGGATAAAGGGGATCAAATCTCAACCAAGCAATGCCTATCGTTCTGTGCGTCAAATGATATTTAACTGAACGTAAGTCCCCCTCACCGGCCTCCCTCCGCGCGCGGTTGTGATGGGGCTTTCGTTGAGCTAGAATTATATAGGCCATGTGTGACTTTACAAAATGGTGCGTGCTTTCACAGAAACTCAAATCAACCGAGGTCCTTTTCAATTCTCAACTTATACCAACATCGGCCTTGTCTTCTTCATTTTCTCCACAGGACGATATAGTAAAACCAGTTGGACTTTTTGCTCTGGCTGCCCATCTTATGGAAGCATCAAGTAGAAGGTTTCCGCAAAGGGACATCATAATTTTAGACAAACGCTGCGAGATAACCAACTCTGAACCATGTTTGACCAGTTGAACCCAGTTGAACCCAGTTGAACCCAGTTGAACCCAGTTGAACCCTGTTGAACCCACATATGGTAGTTCTGGGCGCGCCTACCTACACTTCAAGTTTTTGAGGCGCGCCTTCTGGCGTGTTTTTCAAACGCGCCCCCAGCCTGAACGAGTCGAGACCTTCGAGTAGACCAGTGTAAAATTCCTCATCACTCGCCAAACTTATCACTTTATGGACTATCAACCGCTGCTGTCAGCTCTTTCAGTTCAAATCAATCGCAATCTTAATCCGAGTTTTAATCTCAAAACCTTCCAACCGCCCTGGAAATTTTGAACCAAACCAACTAAAGCAAACCGAACTGACCCTCCCACCCACCCAACGGCGCGATCCTAGCCAAGGGAACGCTGGGTTCCGTAGAGCCAATTCCCAAGGCGTGGCTCCGCTACCGAACTTAATATCGGCCATTGGAGATGCTCCGGGATCAGCTCAACCTTGATATTGGTTCCACGAAGTCTCCAGAGTAACTGCTCGAGACCTCCTCTTGCTCCCATTCCAACGCTACCAGAGCCAACAAAAGATTGGGAGCCAGAAGTCAATCATCCGGTCTTCGAGAGGGACTTTGAAAATACCCAGAGACATAGATCGCAGCTTCGGTTGAGTTGCCTTCCGCTACACATCTGACGTTCATCCCATAGTCGTGAATGCACACCGAACCCTGAGTTCACACCCCATAGTCTGTATGGATCCCCCGCAACGTTTCTCATCCTGAAATATGGCCGTCTTATATGTATCGCTTTTTCAAAATCTCCACGATTAGGTCCCAACAATCACTTTTTGTCAACCATGGCACTCTTCCTAGTATTTTTACTCTTCTTAACCCATTCATCTGCCACATTTGATCGAGAGGATATAGTTCTAGATCGACAGATCAAGGGAAACATCACGCAGCTGGGCGAATTGCACGATCACGGGCTTGAAATTCGTGAGCCTATTCCAATCTTCAGGTTGCAAAGCGATGAATGCATGGATTATAAATGACTCCATACTCATCATCATATCCACCAATCCTCATACGGTCTTCCTCTCTCATCAGCTTACGTGGAGAATCTCAGGGGCCTAAATTATGATTTCGGAGGGTCCACAGGTTTGCAGCACCACTCGCTTCTTTCGTGACCCTTCGGCTGCTGAGTTGATATATGTATTGCACCTGAAGTCATTGATTTAAATCAACACTGTCGCCTCACGCAACGCAGACCATCGCAGGCCGGGTATCTGTGTTCGCATCGGCCGCTACTCTCGCCTCAATTCCAGATTGATGTAGAGCTTTCTATTGGTGCCAATGATAAGACTCTGTTTGGCGATGGGCTTGCTATCTGGCTGGTCGAGGACGGGATCAAAAACACGGGCTCTGTGTTTGGAGCCCCCGGTCAGTCTTTGGACTTAATCAAGCTTTTGTGACTTACATTACAAAAGGCTGACTCTGAATTTATTTTGTTGAACTGTTCCCCAGACTATTGGACAGGTCTTGGAATATTCATAGACACTTTTCCAAATAGTGATAAATCAGTTTGTCTTCCACAGAAGTGACCTCTTCTCTATGCCCCCGGACATGCAGCTAAACTTTCCGATCTTCCAGAAACCATTTCCCATCATGATGGGAATGTTAAATGATGGATCGAAGCGGTACGATGTAGATAATAACGGCCAAGGACAAGGAAGTGGGGAATGTCATTTGCCCAGGATACGAGATCAAGGGCCTCATACCATTCGAATAAATTATGTGAAATCAAAGTTTCTCGAAGTGAGCATCTCATCTCTCGCTGGGATCTGGTTAAGATGTGTTTTCAGCAGATTTATAACTTCGAAAAAACCATCATGAAAACAGGTTCTTGTACGCTATGACGATCCTGACAAGTATTCTACGGACGTATGGTCTCACTGCTTCACAATCTTCGATGTCACATTGCCTCTCCGACCCTACCTGGGATTTTCCGCTCACACTGGTTATCTTGCAGGTTGGTTAATATCCTACGATATAAAATACTTAAAGTACGAAATTAACAATGTACCCTGCAGATACCCATGATATTGTCAATGTCTTTGCGAGTCAAATTCATCACGGGCACGAACAGCCGAAGTTCACACCTCCAGTTCAGCCTCATGTTCAGGAAGTGAAACTCAGTGGAGTAAATATACGTATAATACTACTCCTTGTTTTTTTGGTGGTAGCATTCTTGGGGGGTAAAAGGTTAGAAACTCCCAACAGAGAAATCTTATCTTAGAAATCATGAAGCTGACTACACATTCACCGGTGTGATCAGATACAAGCGCTCCGCTGACAAGAAATTCTGATCCATGTTATTACACGAGGTCATTTCTCCAAAGCTGGTCTTCATTGCACATTGGTTGTATCAGGTGACCAAAACCTCAAGAAGTTTCAAGATGAGAATGCATAGTTGTCATTGTCAAAGCTCGACTACCCTTCTTGGAGCTGGTCCCTTCCATGGATCCCTTCCATATGCTCGAGAGGAAGAAACCAAAAAACATGTGGGTCAGTGCATCATGTAGTAAATAAAGGTGGAGCTATGGCTAGGCCTTGAAGCAAGCTAGAGGTACCGGAACAGGAGCATGTTCTAATGGGGCTCGCCCTGGTACAGTCCAATGCTAAGTCCAGATTGCCCATGAGATTGCAATTAAGTGAAACACGCGGTGTGGCATATTCCAAAAATAATGGGTTACCAAAACAAATCAGTCATCAGAATCATCTGGGGGGATGGAACTGTGAGATATCCACTTGATCCATATCTTCAATAACTTGAGGAACAAATGTGACCCGGGTCAGTGGGCACAGGTGTAATGATGCTTGAGTAATATCCAACATTGTTGCGCTATGCAATGAAGCTTTTCTAATCCCATGAGCAAACAAAAGGATCCTGTGTGGTGTCAAATCATAAATATCACAGCCTTCATTCACTAAAGAAGGTTGATACAGTGGGGTTTGTTAAAGCCCTATGCACGCCTGGTGCTCAGAAGCAGTCGTGATCTAGCTTGACACGAGCCGTGCCAAACCGCGGGACCCTCACCCCCGGAGGTCGGAGGAGGGACTTAGTTAAGTTGAAGTCGTCGTAGGTCTTGATGAAATTTGCACCTCCACAGTACAATCTTAATGAGAACAGAGTAGTTCCAGGATGTGAGGACCAGTCACCGTGGCCCAGGGATTTTCAGCAAAATACCCGAATCTTCGGACATCTTGCCAGATATATTAAACAACGAAATAGCTCCCAAGACTTTTATATTGATCCAAACAAGTCTTCGATGGTGGTTCTTCGGATCTGTGCATATTGGAGTCTGGGCTCTTTGGTGGGTGCCCATAGAAGCCATGATATAATGCTTAAATACACAAGGAACTTTCAAAGACATAATTTTGTACACCAAGAGAATGAAAGAGAGAAAGTCATGTTTTGAATGGTTTTAATCACATTTTTACTTAAGGATATCTTGCTCGAATTTATATACTACTGATTTTTGCACGCGGCAAGTCTACAACCACCATGAGATAAAGATAGATCAAAAAATAATGTAACTGAAGCAGGACGAACGTCATTCTCACATCACAAGGGGAGGAGGACATTTTTCACAAGATGCGATGCACTGGTCGATCATGACAAAGGAGTCCGGTCGGGTCATAGGAAGAGGTTCTGCCATTTGTAGCTGGAGGATGTTCTCAGGCATAGAGACATCGGACTGTTTTGTTGGCATAAATCTTGTTGGAGATTCGGAAGTCTCCGAAAGTAACTTCCACTATACAAAAATGAACTCGTTGGTTAGTTTTGCTTTGCCCAATGAAATGATAAAGATGGTTTACGGAATGCTTACGCTTTGTAGTAGTAAAACTACTGATGACAACACTGAACTCGAAACGGTCACCCAGATGCATACCGACCGCCAGGCGATACTATTTCCAAAGAAGAAGTAAGACTACAAACATATCTCACACTGAAATAGTAGTCGTGTTCATATCTTCATACTCAACTTGTCGATCACACTCCCGATCTTGATAGTCAAGGCGATTCCGACAATTAAATGCCATACCAGAACCACTGTAAGTAAAGTGCAGTGCAAGAGCAGCATTCCTACAAAAGTTCAAAAACAACTTACCAAATTGGTTAATTTTGGACTGATTATGAGATAGAGATGAACTTCATTTCTGAAAAGAGGAAACAATCAATGCACTCACGATAATTTCGTTTGAGATTTTTGGAGGATTTCGAACCGGATAATGCACGTATCACAGTTTGCGTACCTCCGATCCGCTCTGACGTGAGAGCAGGACTCCGGCTTGGACCCTCAAGTGTTGAGTTGTAGTCAGACGAGCATCCTACCAGTAGATTTCTCTTGCCACTGGCTACATCTACAGTCGTTTTTAGCAGTCTCAGGAAAATAGTAATGGTGTAACTATAAAACTGTTGAACAAATCCACATGTCACAAAGGTAGCATATCGAGGCGAGTCAAACGGACGTAACCAAAACATGAGATACTGCAAGATACCAAGGTACATATGGCGTTACCGCACTCAGATCAAAATACGTACACTGACTTCTATCAAAGCTGCGATAGACCACGTAAGGCTAGCCCACCTGAACTGAGCGACGAATCGCTGGATTGCCAAGGTATATCGGGCCATCTCGTTTGAGAAGTCCTGCCCCGAGGCCACTTGAGCGACAACTGCTTGGTAAGCTTCTACCCTTTCATGGGTTGCCCGAATTGATACGATACCCCACTGTATAGCCGTGAGGGTGACGAGAACAGGGACACCGACACATGCGCTATTCATGATGGCCGGGTGTAACATGCTTCCCCGGCTTGAAACTCCACCGATAGTAGGTCGCTCGGGTGAGAGTAGACTGTGAGTCCAAAAGCTTAGACAGGATCAGAATCAACGTGAGAAGACAGATGATGATAATGAAGTCACTATTTTTTACCAGATGTATAGTGCACTAAAACCGCTAAACCAAAACCCAGTGAAGCCTGGAGATACACAGACAGATATAAGAGTGAAAGAAAATTACAAGACGAATTTCGGGTACAATAAATATCAGTAAAGCGAGGTGGACGTACAAGGTGTGTAAGACACAGTTAGCCAAAAGTATCGATAGGTTGAGAGTGTCGCTTGAGGGTCCTGAAGAGCCCGATAAGAAAGATAAATATAAACCTCAAAGAGTACACTTGACCACAGTTGGGATATGACGATGGAGAGACCACCATTCGGAATATAATAAGGAGTTGGTCGCGCTGTTGCGCAACAAAAGACCGATCCAAGAAAATGTTGTCAATGTTTGATCTTGTCAGGTGGACCAAGGAAGACATAACAAGTGGGAACACTAAAAAGGTAGGATAACTGACAAGATAAGTATTGTTTTCGCCAGAGCCAAATGTTTTTTTTTCTCGAAGCCGAACCTCTTAGAAATGGAGTGGCGAGGATGACAAGGGCCAGCCCAATGATGACAAGGTAGATGATACCAAGGCCGACCAGAAGCCTGGAAACATATGGATACACATATGGATGTTGTGATTGATCCAACCGTGACAAGATTATTGAAATTTGTGAGTCTTGCGGTGCACCGGCACTCGATGTCGTGTTCAGCATCGTCAATCGGGGCAAGGTCAACGGAAACTTATGGCGTGAAATCGATTTCCTTCAAATCGCGGAGTTGCAAAGGCGAAGTCCGATTTGCGTTTACATATATGCATTTGGGAACCGCTTCAGAGAGCGGATGAAAAGAAGAATGAGGAAAATTAATCTATATCATTTGGGTAGTTCTGCGGTATTGGTATTAGATAAATCAGTCCCGTTATATGGTTGAACAGAATCGCGGTCTTGAATTTCAGATCTCAATTCATGCAAACAAAAACGAAGGTCAAGGCGATGTGAAGGGACAAGAGAGAAGGAAATGGTGAATATATCGTGTGCACATATGGTGTTCACTATGAATACAAAAACGAAGGTCCAAGTGCTTCCAGTCTTGAATGCAGCCATCGAAAATCGAAAAGGTGGCTGAGATGAGTGAGGATGAGTGAGAATTAGAGTGGTCGATCTGTATCCACAAGGAGATCAATTAAATTCGTGACTGAACTAATTTCCCAAATTGCAAGCCCAGTGGCCACATGCTCGTCCTTTCCTCCCGTCTGCTCCGTATTCCGGTCTCGGAGCAATAACACCTCAACAGACCTCAACTTCCCGCCATGTCGCATACACTCATTGCGTCCAACATTGGTGCACGAGGTATGTAAGAGTATGTAGGCATATTGCTTCAGGCCACCAAACGCAAGCGAATTGATATCATGGGCCTCGTGAGGAGCACCGGAGAAAATATGGGATCAAGGATCTATCTAACTTGGAACTTCAAAAGTCGATACAGCCCTGTCGCCACAGCACTGGAGACAGGTCTGATGATGGTCCATATTGACCTGGGATTCAGATTTATCCGGATGTGATTCCCTCACTGATTTATGGCCATGATGCACGCCGTATGGCACATATATGTAGGTAGGAGCCGGGAAGTTCAGACAAACTTTATTTCAGAAGATCGGCAATTTTCATCTTGTAAATAACACGAGCAACGCATGCGTGCAGATTTTCCGCCAAAACTCCATTGATCTGAACATGAAAAAAGACAAGAATTTATGTATGGGGCTATAAACCAAAACGCTAAACAGCCTTCTGGGCTTTCTTTGCAATCATCCTTAAATACGGGGATTCAACCCTAAGTGCTTGGATTATGTGTTACTCAATCTTTTGCCAGGATTATGGGATTGACACATCCATTACCCAAATTCTCTAAGGATGAGCCTTTGGAAGCCAGAAGAATGTAATCAATGTGTGCTGCCTGCTTGTAAGAAATGGTGTATGTATTGCAGAGGCAGGTGATCATCAATTGTAGACGTAGATCAGATTGGGAGGCCAGGCTTGGAGATATAAATTGGAAACTCTGATAGAAATTTTCATTTGACACCCTTTTTGATCAAGTATCCTTTCCATGCTCATGCTTGCAGACCGCCAAGAGCTGAGCCATATGAAAAGTATGATTGCTCAAAGCCAGCTTCAGGGATACGTAGTAACATGCTCAGACAAATTTACTAATCTAGTAGTAAGCTCTCTCTTTACTTGACCATGAAGAGGCAGACATAGCACTGCGTCCACCACAGACCTTCTCGACGTCGAGATGGTCAGATCTTCCCGACTTTGTTTCCACTTAACTCTTTTTCAATGTTTTGTTCCTTCACAGACCTTCTCCTCAGTCAAAAGCCTGAAATTCCCTCCTTTCCACGTTTTTTTACTTTACTGAGCTTATGGTCAGTCAACAGTCTGAGGTATTGCACCAAAGCTCAGGAGATGAGCAATCACCTCAGCGCACAGGCATAGCACTTTGTACATGACCGCGCACATGCACATTCACTTTTAGCCCGGAGAGAAAATCTTGAGGGCGTCAATTGAACACTAGAAAATACGGTGCCATCCAAGCTGCAGGAAGCATTAAAAGCACGCATCTTCAGAACTCCCTTGGCAGCTGAGGTGAAATCAGATGACCAATGGCTGCGAGTAGTCAGGGCGCCGGCCCCGGTGGTTTTGGGCATCAAACCTTGGGGCGCTGATGAAGACGTCACAGTCTGAGTCACTGCATCGATCTCTAGCCCTTGCACTGGCTGTGCAGCTTGATCAATCCCTGATCTCTTTCGCCCATCTCAGAATGAAGGTAGCCGTCATTGGAGGTGGAATCAGTGGACTAGGTGCTGTCACAAGACCTGATTCACTGTTTTCCCCGTGACAATACCTAGAGATGAGTCTCAATCACCTCAGTCACAAGACCTGATTCACTAACCTGTTTTCCCCGTGACAATACCTAGAGATGAGTCTCAATCACCTCAGTCACAAGACCTGATTCACTAACCTATGAGGTATAGTCAGGTCACAGAATAAGATGGAGAAAAGGAATCGGCGCGTATAAGTTTTAGCTACGATTTCTTTTCCTTCCGTAGAATAGCGGATATTTATTTCACCTGTTTTCCCCGTGACAATACCTAGAGATGAGTCTCAATCACCTCAGTCACAAGACCTGATTCACTAACCTACATCATCAGAGAGATCAACAAACATATAAGAAAAGATAACAGTTAGATATATAAGAATAGAAAAAGAGAACTAAGAGTGATCTTATTCTGACCTATGAGGTATAGTCAGGTCACAGAATAAGATGGAGAAAAGGAATCGGCGCGTATAAGTTTTAGCTACGATTCTAGCGCCGATTAACAAACAAGTGAAACATGAAGATATGAATGACGAGAAACAATTAGTAACATCCATATAGAAATGAAAGAAAGATAAAGAAAGAATATGATAGAATTGAAATAGTGAAAGGGGCTTACTCTTTTCCTTCCGTAGAATAGCGGATAAGGAAAAGAGTATTAGCCCAAATTGATGGAGGCGCAATTCAAATAAAGGAACTTCTAGGTTTAGGTTTGACTTAATAGTATTGTTAGATTTAGTTCAGTTTCAGCCACTATGATCTAAGTTTAAGCGGGGTAGCGTATTTGTAATAAGTCAAGTGTCAATTAGACTTTCACTATAGCTGAAACCTAAGTAAGATCATGAGAGACTGGGTTGTCTCTCAACATGCACTGGCTGTGCAGCTTGATCAATCCCTGATCTCTTTCGCCCATCTCAGAATGAAGGTAGCCGTCATTGGAGGTGGAATCAGTGGACTAGGTGCTGTCTGGGTGAGCGTTTGAGACACCCTCTGAACGTTCCATACTTGATGTTTCACTGACAAATTGATCAGCTTTTGAATGAACATTCCGAGCACCAAGTCGAACTTTTCGAAGCAAATGAATATGTTGGTGGTCATCCCCATACCGTCCCACTCCCCACCAATGCTATGGTAGACACTGGTTTCATCGTTTTTAATCGGCTCACGTATCCTAACTTCACCCGACTTCTCACTATACCGGGCGTTCGAAGTGGTCCCTCCGAAATGTCTTTCTCAGTTTGCGTCGGTTCAAAGTATGAGTGGGCTGGGACAGGTTTAATGGCAGCATTTGCTGGGGCATCTGATTGGGGCGCTCAAGCTCGCATGTTGTGTGATATCATCCGTTTCAATGCCAACGCCCCAGACGCCCTGCTCGATCCACGTCCATCGCTGAGTGTTGGGGAATACTTGAACGAAAATGGCTATTCAGATGCGTTCAGGCGTCATTGCCTACTGGTAAGCTCGTTTGTTCCGCATATGTGCTAAAGACTTCATAGGGCTGAATGTCCTCAATTTCAACAGCCAATGACTTCTGCCATCTGGTCAACCCCCGCAGACAAAACCGCTCTGTTATTCCCGGTGAAAACTCTTGTACAATTCTTTCCAACCATCACCTACTACAAGTCTTTGGTCAGCCAGAGTGGTTAACAATCCCTGGGGGCGCTCGTACCTATGTAGAAGCTATATTACGGAACTTCCACAACCTCACCTTCATAAAAGTGCATCTGTGACCTCCATTCGGCGCGAGGGAGATGACAAACTCAGTGTCTTACTCGAGTCTGGGAGGGAGCGTGGGCCATTTGATCAAGTGATTTTTGCTTCTCACACCGACAAGACGTCAAAAATCCTGGCATCCTCTGCATCGGACACAGCCTGCAATCAAGCGTTATCCGTCTTATCTCGATTTTCTTGCACTGCAAACCATGCAGTACTGCATTCTGATCCGAGCTTGACGCCCAAACAGCGTAACTGTTGGACAGCTTGGAACTATGTAATTCACAATTCTAGTGAAGCTTACGAGAAAGATCACGTGGAAGACATTGTTTGTCTGTCGGTCCCCTGTTACTACTCTTCATGCTTGATTGATGCAAAACAAGATTAGTGATATACTTACGTCAAGTGCTGACTATCCATAGGACTTACTGGATGAATCGCCTTCAACCTGATACGTTACCAGAGAGCATCCATGGGCCTGTGTTTGTCAGCCTCAACCCACCCGATAGTGCCATCTTTCCTAAAGATGTCATCGGAAGGTGGACATATCATCACCCTGTTTAATCAGCTGGAGTGGGTATCCATCTTTCAAATCGAAAATCTAGATAGTGTAACTGACAAGCTGGCATGTTAGAGTGTGGCAGCACAGGATAAGATTTCAGAAATACAGACTCAGGGACGGATGAGCTTTGTAGGCGCATGGACTGGCTACGGTTTTCATGAAGACGGGTTTTGGTCCGCGCTAAGATTGATGACCGTCGGAGCAGGTGAAAAGGTTGCCGGGGTCAAGCGCCCAGTGGGAATGAATCCTCGAATACCTTCCACAGAATCTAGACGTACGCCTTTAGCAATACGCGTCACCATTGGAGTAGTCAATTGGTTTCTGAAGAGGATATTTGGCAAGGAGAACCATCAGATACCCAATCGTACCAAAAATAGTTAGGCTGATGTGGATTCCAATTTGCCCCTCATCAGTTTTGATTTCTTGAATACATGATGTTGTATGACTAGATTGTTGTACGGCAATTACACTAAATAAAGAAATGAAGACCAGTCAGAAGGTCATAATTTAATGGGGCTGTGAATTCTTGAATACAAAAAGGGAAGAGATACTAAAGAGAAGTGATTAAGACACCCATGCATGATAATCACAGCTCTCTTACAACAATTCCGGCCATGTGAATGAAACTTGTTAAGGTGATGATGTAGCGCGCTTTCACAACAGAAAATTGTGCCGCGACCATGACTTTAGGATTTTTCAAACTAGGAATTGATGCCGAGATGAAGAATGCACCAACTAAGCCCTGTCTGAGGCAGCGGAATACATGCATGTGAGATGAACCTGATTGTTAAGTTTGATGGTTGGGTGTGATTGCACCTTAAAAAGAGACACTTTTGAAACTTGAAAGCTTTGAATTTATCAACTCAAGGCTACGGAAATGACTAAGCCTACTGAACCAGTAGGTTAGGTTTTTGAGATAATCTAAAATAAAATACGTATAAAATCGAGAACAACAGGTGAAATGTACGATCAAATATCAAAATCAAAGAACAACGTGCTGATGATAGAACTACACAAGTATGGGTCAGGATTCAACCGTCATCCTGAAGACTCTATGATCATGAAGGAATGGATCCATCAGACTCTCAGTGTCTGATAATTTGCTTTCCACCTCCGCCTTTTCGAGGTCTTCTTCCTGCCATGGTCGAGCCTGTTCACGGAACTCAGGAAGGAACATCTTGGGGTTGATATCTTCCAATTCAACGCCCGAGATGGCTTTTTGACCTCTTGGTGGGGCAGTGGAGGTGAATCGCAAAGGCGAAGGAAGCTTGGAATCATGAATCGCTTGATAAGCTCCAGGTGGGATTCTAGGTTGACCAACACGGGAACGGATAGGATAGGCGGAGAAGGAGTGATGTAAACCTTGTTGCTCAAAGATCGCAGGAGTGAGAAGGTTCTCAATTGTAGGCGGAGTGTTGACCGACAAAGTCAACCTAGGAGTCTACATGAAAGAACTCTGATCGACTGCTCTCAGCGTCGCAAGCTGTGATTAGCCTTCGGGCTCAAGTCTGGGTAGCTACTCATTTTTTGTGTTGAAACTGGGAGCAACACCCTTCTTGGTGTTGATATCATACTCTTACAATTAGTAAAGAATACTCATAAAACAGAGACAAGCACTCGTTAAACAAAGGACTTTGTCATATTTTTTTAGTTTTCTTTGCAGTTCTTTTTTCAGTATACTAAGAAGAAGAGCGAGTACAAGTGCTGTGTGAGCTGGGCAATGATTGAGCTGCTCTGAGGGTCAGCAACTCCTGCTCAACCAGGATACGCGGTTTGCTTGGGCTGTTCCTGAGCAGCATGAAGGGGCATTTGGAACAAACTTTGACCAAACATGATACAAACTTTGGACAAACACAACACATCTAACCATCTCCACGTCGAGAAGGTCTACGGTGGACGCAGTGTAGTGTGATACTTTCTGACACCAAAACGGGAATTTTGGTGATAAAATTTGCCTTTTGTTAGATACTGTTGAAGGGGTGGCTTGGTGAAGGAGCTGTGATTTCACCGGCTTTATATACCCACCTCACGTGTCTCTCAGGTGTACTTCTACATGGTGTTCAAATAGATACAGTGCTTTGACGTTCATTCTGCACTTTGTTGAACATCATCAAAGTTGAAAATTCAATTCTAAGCATTGCACTTCAATTTATTTGGAGCTGTAGTCAATGCAGTCTGAAGGTTCATATTTGCTTTTGGTGCCAGTCAACAGAAACCCACAAGTTGAAATACTAGAGTCTGACTTGGGATACATCAAGTTGGATAGCCAATAGTCTAGGGTAACAGGAGCCAAATTCGTGAATCTAACATATAATACTACGACTTTACGCAACTGTTGCAATACCCCCGTTTCAAAACTGCTACTCAGCCAACTACCGTTCCATGACTATCCTACTATTAACCCTCAACTTAGTCTTACCCGACCCTACGCATCTGTTTCATTACTTCCGTTCCAAGGCCGCTACTCAGCCTACTACCGTTCCCATCCTACTACCAACCCTCCCCTTACTTTTCACCGTCCTCGCCTACCACTCTCCAGCCAACTCATTTTTTGCCATCATTCGCCACGACGTCTCTACACATTAACCAACCCTGCCACAGCCGTTCCTTGACTGCTTCCGATCACAACTACGCTTACTGCATCATCACCGGGTCCTTTCCAGCACCCGCCACCCTGACCTGCCCTGACTCCCTAGCCACATTCACAATCACGACAGGTATCGCTTCAGCCACGCCATCTGACTCATTGCCCTGATGTCCCATCACTATCTCACCATCAACCTCCGTCTCAGTCTTACCCGACTTTACGCAAGGCTCTTACCAGCACCCGCCACTCTGACCCAGCCTGAGACTCTAGCTACACTCACTATCTCGACAGCGATCGCTTCCGCCACGCCATCTGACTCTCTGCCCTGATACACAGACGCAAACACTCTACCAATGCGCCTTATAATTACCGACGTCGGCTTCGAACACTATACGACACTCATCCCTTTCACTCACCAGATTACATACCCCAACTCTCAATATTGCAACCAATCTCCTTTTTACTTCGCGTATCAACCTTCCGCCAACGCCTTTTACAAATTGCCCGCCTGGACACCCCTTCAACCCCAGACACTGCAACGAATTCTCCTCTTACTGTACACTATCCACTTCCCGCCCTGTTTTTGATTCACCAATCAACCATCTGTCCAGCCCTACAACCCTTGATATTTTAAGTCCACCACCGCATCCTCAACTCTACTAAGCCAATCATCTCCAAACATCCCTACCGCTAGTACTACCATGTCTAACGCCCCCTCGAGACCCTCTCACCCATTCACCGTGTCGTCCGTCTTTGAGGTCGCCGAAAACGTTTGTTCTTTCCATTCTCAAGATCTACTTTTATTCAATCTGCTAACCTCACCGTACTCCCAGCTTGCCCCAGCCGACAACCGCAACTACACCTTCCGTGGTTCTACTGTTGCGATCACCTGTGACGGTTGGGAGGGTGATAACGCACGTGAGTACGACGGTACTCTTCTTGCGTACTGTGGTCCTATGGAAATCCCCCAAGACGAGCACTGCTACGCCGTCTGAGCCAAGATGATTCCCAGTGTCGACTCCGCCGACTTCAAGCTATACTACAAAGCGGAACACAAGATCGCTGTGGGCACATCTGATACGTTCGCTGGCGAACTGAACAATAACACTGGTGCTTCTGGCCTTGGTATCGTGAACACCAAGTACGATATTCCTGAGTCAAACACGGACGACACTACCCTTGCTTTCGTCATGAACCATGTGGACTATAGTCCTGAGGTTTGTTGTCCTCACATTCTCAAGTCTATATTTTAAAGCCGGTGTACTGATTCCTACAACTTAGCTGCGTGACTATGTCAACTTTGAGGTCGAGTATCGCATCCGACCAACACAGAAGCTCAAAAAATCACAAGGATTGATTCAACCTGGGAAAGAGACCTTGGTTAATGGTTTCATTGTCGACTGGAACGACAAGGACCATCGATGGGTTGTAGATGCAAGTCAATTCACTCCCTACCATTTGCTCAGTTACTAACATTGTCATCGAACAGGTCACTTCAATCAGCGTGGCGACCGGACACCAAGCGGCGTCTAAGAAGAGAACTGCACTGGGGACAAAAGTCACCCCTACTGGTAGAGTCAAGCCCGCCAAGTGAGACTTCATAACAAACATCCTTCTGGATCATTACCTCACTCAACTCACCTCCTGCTGCCCCGTTTGTAGGCATGTTCCCAATGTGACTCCGACTCGTGCACCCCAGGCTGGGGACAAAGACGCTCAGGCCAACAAGGGAAAAGCCAAGACCTCACGCCAAGATCTCAATTGCGGCTCCCAGACCGGTTCGATCGAATCCGTTCTCGACCCAGAACCTGAGGCCGGCCCAAGTACTCCCAAAACCCCCTCTGGCACTCGCGGATCAAAGAAGGCCAAGCTGGTCTGAATGCTCAATGGCTGTAGTCACACACACTACACTGCTCCCATGTACACCCTTGCAACCGCCTCCTATGTTCGCGAGTCCTGACCGGCCCATTCGCCTTGCTAGCCATATATCATGTATCTTAATCCACTGATCTGGGCTAATTGTGCGGTTGTAATCATGTTCTACTCCATATTGTTCATATTCACTACGTTTTCCCTGTCGCAATGAAACTACACTCATTTATCCCCCAATCACTCCACTGGTGCTACGTGAAACAGGACCCAACTCTTCCTTGCTTCTCCTACGTTATCTTCCGACGATTACCCATTCAATCAGCCATGAGCGACTCAGGGTCCGACGACGAGTCTACTCCTGCTGACTTTGGATTGGCATCCGCATCCTTACCTGAGACTGAAGAATCTAGCTTGCTTGCCCGATTTCCAGGACAACTTCCATACAATATTGGTGAATGTAGTGATCCCTGTTCGACATGCTCTGCACTCCACTGGAAACTCGAGCGCACAGTGCGTACAATGGATCACGCTAGCGTTTCATACTCGACTTGTTGTCAACAGGGGGCAGTAGGATTGCCATCCGATCACCTGGAGAACAAGCTGACTCCCCCGTTCCTCCAAAAGCTATTTACTGGTAAAGACAAACGTAAGCTTATTTGAGACTGCCAAAGCCTGAATGACGCTGACTGTCTTCTTACCAGTGGCAAAGAATTTCCGCGCCAATATCCGCAGTTACAACAACGCCGTTTCCTTTACCTCGACCGCCGCCTCGCAGGACAAAAGCGTCGCCGGCGAAGGGGGATCTTGGAGTTATCGCATACATGGCCAACTAACTCACAAAATCGGCTCACTCCTGCCTCTCCCGGGCGCGACGAAGAAGTTCGCACAGATGTTCATATGGGGCGACCAAGCAGACGAAGAGGTCGCATATCGGACTCCGCTCAATTCCAGAATGGACCCTGGCGTTTTACGGCAAATTCAAGACTTCATGTACTCTACCAACCCGTATGCTAAGATGTACAAAGCCGCTGAAGAAATCCTGAACTCGAATCCAGTCAGAACAATCAAAATTAAATCCTTACAAGTACACGGGAGGGACAAAAACCGTTACAACTACCCCACTTGCAGCCAGGTCGCAGCTGTCATTCAGGGCGATGGCAGTGTCGGCTCGAAAGACCGTGACGTGATCATCCAATACCAGAGTGGCGACTTGCGCCGTGTCTCTGAGCTAAATACTACCTACTTTCCGTTGAGGTACCCAGTTTTCTTTATGTATGGTTCCCATGGGTGGGACGAACATTACCGTCACTTCACCGCGCGACGTAAGCAACCTAAGTTGACACCCATCCAGTTCGCAATCATTCTGACACTTCGTGATCACAGGCAAGAGTGGCAAGATTACAGCACTTGAATGGTTCGCTTACACACTGTACGACCGGCAAGACGTCTTCTCACCAATTCTTCGCGGCGGACGACTGTTTCAAGAGTTCTTGGTGGACATGTACGTTTGCATCGAGAACGCTAGGTTGAAGTGGGCTCGGAATAATCAGAAGAGATTAAGAGCGGAACTGTACAACGGCGTGACTGAAGCACTGAATACAAACGACTTTACCATTGGCCGCAATGTCATACTCCCTTCTTCCTTCAAGGGTGGTCCGCGCGCAATGTCCGAGCTGTATCAAGATGCGATGGCATTAGTCAAGACTTACGGTCCGCCCAGCCTATTCATCACGATGACGGCGAGCACCCATTGGCCAGAACTCAAAGCGGCTCTGCTTCCGGGCCAGACCTGCTATCCCGGGTCTATCCTGCTATCCCGGGTCTATCGAATGAAACTCAAAGAAATGCACCGAGATGTTATGAAGCGAGGAAGGCTTGGTGTCTGCGTTTCAGACGTTCACGCAATTGAATTCCAGAAACGCGGGGCCCCTCATGCTCACACAATCCTCATTCTTGACAAAACTTCAACGCCCAGGACACCACAGCAGGTTGACTTATTGGTTCGAGCAACAATTCCCGATCCAATCAAGGAACCAATGCTTTACTTGCTGGTCACGGAGCTCATGGTTCACGGGCCCTGCGGCAAGGGAAAGTCGTGCTGGAATGGCACTGGGTGCAAGTACAATTTCCCGAAGGCGCTCCAAGCAGAGACGATCATGACGGATAGCTCATATCCCAAGTACAAGCGTCCTGACGACGGCTCATTTTTCATCAAGAACGGCCACCGATACACAAATCAGGACATCGTTGCATACAATCCCTTCCTCCTCCTGAAGTTTCAGTGTCATATGAACATCGAAATCGCAGTTAGCATGAAAGCTATCAAATACTTATACAAGTACATTGCGAAGGGCCACGACCGTCAAGACCTAAGCCTGGAGACGGACAACGAGCCAAACGACTACGTCAACGGCCGATTTCTAGGCGCGTCAGAAGGTAATTACTTTTCTCTTCGTGATATACTGTTCGTCACTGATAGTGTTTTGTCACAGCCGCATGGAGGTTGCTAAAATTTCCGCTCTCAGGCCGTCACCCTGCGACTGAACGACTTACGCTTCATGACGAAAACAACAATGTCGTATACTTTCCTAATTCACAATCATTGCGTGCCCAAGTCGACTCCGGACGAGCACGCAGAACAACTCTCACTGAGTACATGCGATTATGTTTTGAGAACCAGCCGATTGAGAAGTCAAGGATCACGATTTGATCACTTCTCTACACAGACATGACCCAATATTTTAGGTGGAACGAGACTGACAAGGAATGGACCCGCCGAGTGAGAGACACAGGCGCTATATCTTGGCTCTACTTTGCTAGACCTGGCCACGGGGATAGATACTATCTGTGTCTTCTCCTGACGCAGGTCCCTGGAGTTACCTCTTTTGCATCACTCCGGTGCTTCAATGGTGTTCATTACAACGACTATTGATCCGCTGCTGATGCACGGGGACTGTTGATGAGTGACGCACACTACGACGCTGCTTTAACAGAGGCAGCGCTTTGGAAGACCGGCGGTCAACTCCGAGCGATGCTTGCACTGATTTTAGTGCACAGCCCCCCGTCCAATCCGCAACTACTTTGGGACAATCATCTCGACGATTTGGTAGACGACTGTCGATACCAAATTGCTCTCACCGCGCCTCACGTTATGACCACGGACTTACATCTGGAACACTATGGCCTTGCGCTCCTGGACCGTACTCTCGACGAAATGGGAGCTACCTTGGACAGCGTTGGTTTGAAACAAGCCAATCAAGGCTTAATAATGGAGTTGGGCGGTTGTCATTACGATGTAAATGCCGATCAAGTTACACGTGATTCGAGTCTTGTCGAGATTGCATCTGCTGTACCCAAGCTCACTTCCGAACAAACGATGGTGTACAAAGCGGTCTGTGAAGCTATCGACCAGGGGAACGGAAGATGCATGTTTGTCGACGGACCCGGAGGGTCTGGCAAGACATTTCTGCTCAACACATGCTTGCACTTCTGCAACGCATACGATATCCCTTTCATAGCTGTTGCTTCTTCTGGGATTGCTTCATTGCTGTTGCTGAACGGAGCTACTGCTCACTCTCAATTCAAGATCCCAATTCCTTGCGACGAGGCCTCGACCTGCAACTTTACACCCACGACTGCAATCGGCCGCATGCTTTTGCTTGCTCGATTTGTCGTTTGGGACGAAATCGTGATGATGAAGAAAGATTCCATTGAGTGTGTAGACCGCTCCCTTCGAGACTTGAGAGCGTGCAATCAACCATTCGGCGGGCTCGCAATTCTCTTCGCCGGTGACTTTCGACAAATCTTGCCCGTCGTCCCCCACGGAGGAGTGATGGACGCGGTTCGAGCATGTTTCAAGTACTCAGAATTGTGGGCCGAAGTCGATGAATTTAAACTAACCATCAACATGAGATTAGGTCAAGACACCGAAGAAGAGCGATGCAAAGATTCGCAAGGACCATTTGCCGATTGGTTGCTGAAGCTCGGTTCAGGCCAGCTCCAGGAACAGATTACTACGAAATTGCCGCTGGAGTACGTCGAAACAGTCAGTGTTAAGCCGGGAATGGACTTGAATTCACCCATTGTAAGGCAATACTACTCTGGGGTGAACGGATGGATTAGGGCAAAGGCCTGGCACGAACTAGCGATGTACTACTCTAAGCGGGCAATCATAACACCGCTGAATCGGGTGGTCGACACCATCAACTCAATCATAATAGATTCAATTGATGGTAACGCCGTGGTCTCAACATCACTCGACGAAATCGACGAGGAATACGCAGAAGACGTAAGTGCCGACATCCTGAACACATTTGAGGTAAACGGTTTTCCCAATCACGTGATAAGGTTGAAGGTTGGATGTGTCGTGGTCTTGCTGAGGAATTTGAACTTGGTGACTGGACTCTGTAATGGCACAAGGCTCTTGATTAGAGAAACGGGCGATAACGCATTAGAATGTTTGATTGTGACCGGACCCAGAAAGGGTACTAATGTTTCACTTCCAAGGATGAGGCTTCACCACCCAGGAAAAGAAGCGACCCCAGTTTCATTCTACCGACTCCAATTCCCTGTTGCTGTCGCTTTTGCGATGACAATCAACAAAGCGCAGGGACAAACTCTCGAGAAAGTCTGTGGTTTTGCGGACGCCGGTCTTTGCACACGGACAACTCTATGTCGCGCTCTCGAGGTGCACTTCCGCGGCTGGGACAAAGGTAATTCTGACTGAGACTGAACGATCAATGGCGACTACGAACGTTGTCTACCGCCCTGTGACTCTATCCTAAGAAAATTGTTCAATACGCAAGGGTATCAAGGATTCCTGTGTACAACCGCGTTATGACTGAAACAACAGGGTCGTCTGTTTGGAAATATGCTTCTACTATTGAACATGTACATAGCTTATATTTGTCATTCAATCCGTGCTACTTTGTCAAGAAACCCTTGTATAATACAAAATTACTCATGTTTCATATATTCTCCCTTACGTGATGGTGCTTTGGAGAGGCCATGAATTCAAGCAAGATGATATGTTCTTAAACGCTATGTGCTCACTCAGTTCGCGCATTGTTGGTAATGGCACTGACCTTAACCGCTTCCACATAGTGTGGCCGCTTCATGCGCATGTATAGGTACGTGAACAAAGCCGCCATTAAGAGAGTCCTAATGCAAAACCAATCACGGCATGACGCATTCGTGGGGGTAACCCTACCCCTTTGTTACACGAAACAGACCTGAATTAATCGCTGAGAGCGAAGTGATAACCATTTGCTGTTTCGATTAGAAACCATAGTCGTAGTTTTCTCAACGATTCAATTGGAACTACTTACTTTACTTTATATAGTCGTATTCATATTTTGCCAATTGCACAACCATGCCAGAGTCACACTGGAGACCGGCTCAGACGACGCCGCTCACTTTGCGATTGACTGGCGTGATGTCTCTGCACAATGAAGTAAGCAGAACTATATTTCATGCAATTCCCAGTACTCATGCAGTGCTCAGGTTTATATGAGGGGTGCCGGAAACCACTGGCATCGATGTTTCGAGGTTGAAACAACTCATCCGCTTGCACGGTGTTCCCCATTGACATTGCTTCTGAACATCCACGACGGATACAACTTCGCGGAAGGGACAACAGTTCACTTCGCAGGCGATCTTATCGGCTTAAACGACGGCTCACAGTCGATTATCATTCGTCCCGATCCTATCTTCGAGATCGGAAGCCATTGCCTTTCACATTCCCTTTCACAATTGAACGTCCTCGAAGTCTCGAGTCGAGGACGTGTTAAAGAGCACCACGTTCACAAAGCAGAATGGACCACCCTAGTGGTTGAGCACAACGTTTATGTAACGCACGTGAGCTGAATGGTCAGTTGGGGCTCCGACTTTCGCTGACCAATCACTTTTACAGCTTGACAGATGGCTGTTGTTCACGGCGATTTACGTAGATATCGGCAATGGCGTTATCTCATCGTTTGGGGGCGTCCTGCTAGGCGCAATTCTCAACTTCCGTGGACACATCCTAGAGTTCTCAGACGTGGGACACATCTGGGCAGTGCACGTAAGCTACGAACCGATTCAGTGCACCGTGTGGCAAAGCTGATAGTATTCTCGCAGGTCAAAGAGATCATTGCAGAATAGCTCGGGGTCTCATGAACCTGGGGGATCATCGCACAAAGACGGGGTGTCTCATGGCCTACAGTGTTGTAACAATCCCTGCGACCTTAGTCTTCGACCGAAGTTAAAAACTGCACTGAAGAGAGGCGAACGTCAATGAAACGCAGGGTTCTTCAAGATGTAGAACGCATTCCAAGATGTCAGATTCTCAATACCGCCGCGGTTGTGACCTATGGTACGGGAATAGTCGGCGATTAGTGTGATTCTGGAAGCCATGAGTTGTAAGGGCACTGACTCGGATAGAGAAGGTTGAAGTCGTTTCATTGAAACCATCAACAGTGCCTTCAATGTGAACCACGTTTCCAGTCTCGAACGTGTCCCTGCCAATACGCAGAAGTGTCACAATGTTCACCACGTAATCAGCCGTAAACTGTTGGAATTGTAACATCTGAAGAGACTGTTGTTAGAAATGATTAATTGAGTTATACAACGTTGCTTACAGATGAGTCCAAGTTATTATGCAGGACCGTGAAAGTCCATGACTCCCGATCATGATCGTCGGGATATTCAATGGCATGATGCAAAACCCTCCCATGGCCCGTCGTGCTGGTCCGATTCGCGAGCGCGCGGCGTGTCAAAGGGAATTGCCCGAGACGAATAGTCTGACGTGGGTCTAGCATGAGATTGATACTGTTCCCAGAGATGCCGGCGTGAACTGAAGCTTGAATTCTGTACACGTAATCCGTTTCGAGATTTGAACAAGGAGGCATGGAGGCTATAATGACTGGTATGTTGGCGATGCGACGGTTCATGCCATAAAGACAGGAAGTCCAGCGACGATGAGGAACTACCGAATTGGTAAGGGTTGGGAATAACGATAGTGGTGAGCCATATCAATACGATATAGATAGCGAATCACACTTACTAGGGGGCCCAATGTCAAGACCGCCTGAAACTGAAGTGGGAAGACACGACTTGCCTCGCGGTTCGCAACTTCTGCAGCCATGCTTGATTTCAGGGTGTTTTTAGATGGTGGAGTTGATTCCGCCGAGAGGAATTTTCTGGGTGGTGGGTGGTACGCAGGAAAGTTGTCGACGCGCTGCTGAAGGCGAGGGTGTTCAACGACCGGAACCTTCCTTATCAGCTTGTGCCATTCATGCATTAGGTCATAGAGGACAATGTTCAACCACTCACTCAATTGGTTCAGTCGTCGCCATCGCGATCTGGCCTGGGTCCTGTGGCCATGTTCAAAGTCCCGTCCGGATGTTGTAGTGGGGGAATGACGCGGATTATGAGTCGAACGTGGCCAGTGATTCACGCACGGCCTACGCTGGTCCGGTTTGTCATATGTTTAGCGGGGTGTGTTAGCCTGTTGACTCTCACGGCTGAGTCGGCTCGGAAGTGTTACAGAGGTTGGGTAAGTCGTCCTCAGTTCGACCGGGATGGGCATTTAGCGAGAGGGCACAGCTGCGGTAATCATCATGAATAAAGTGCTCCATCTGAAGGCTGCTTTTTGGAATCTGTACAATTACCCAATCCGCCTTACAGCAAAGTTCCCACACGCCATTAAAATCAGAATTGTAAGTCATGTTCAACAACATTGCTTAATAGTGGTACTAACTCCTCGCTTGCATATGACGCAGACAACAATGCTCAACTCTCAGGTTGTAATTGTTATGATCGACCCCGACACGCCAGTCCTCTGCATTACGTCGACCGAGTATCAAAAGTGGGGACAACCCCATATCCATTTGATTCGACTTTCTGGGCACCATGTTGCGATTCATGTCAGTACTGATTGCATGAGCTTCCCCCTCAATTAATGTGCTGATGCCGTGCTTCGACCTTAGGAGTCGGTTCCTGATGAGCCGAGCGATCAGAGTTCAGAGGCCGCGCGGGGTCTCAATGTTAGTGGGGCCGACATCAACCGTTAAGATTCAGGGGTGTTTGAATCACGACCTGTTGAATTCTTTACTATTAGGGTTTCGGGGAATATGTCATGTCAGGATGGAGATCAATTCGAGCTTAACGTTGAACAGACTTGAGACTCTCTGTCAAACGAGCCTGGGTCAATTAGTTGGTATCGTAATCCTACGCGAGTTTGGGGTTTGACGTTCTACGACCTTCATCTTGCCAACGATAGCCTTAGCAAGATGTATCCGGGAAAAATGCGAAGGGCGGTGGCTTGGGGAGTAAAACAGAAATGCCGCATTGCTTTGTTATTGTACTGTAGTAGTCATGCCGGAATGGCGAATAATGTATAGAATTGCCCGGCGTGAATCAGCACTAAAGGACATGGCCCGACTGAGCAGCTTCGGGCATTATAAGTAACTGGCTTGATGTTACAATGAGCACACGAGCGACATTCGAGTTTTATTTCTACTTGGTGCCTGGCGACGTAGGGCAGTTTGGTCGACTTGGTAGTCAAATTCAGTCCCAGCTCGTGCATTGTAATAACTCTCTTGATGATGGAGTGAGTGCACGAGCTACAGTCGAGTTTTATTTCTACTTGGTGCCTGACGAGGTAGTGAGACCAGAAGACACATGAACGGTCGAAACGCAGGGGAGGTCAGCGTGTCCCAGTTCCTGTGTTCAGCGTCGCTGCACGTTAAGCTGATTCAATTTCGGTCCTGTTGTTCGAAAGCGCGGAAATTGGAGTCGGATTTCTTGGCAACACGACGTGATCGACGAAACAGCGACATGTCCGACAATACGAACATCTCGCATATTCACGACTCTCATCTTAGGATGTACTGGAGAGGTGTGGTTTCCTTCAGGGACGAGGTGGGTCATGCTTGAAATAGTACCAGAGAAGACACCGGGACTGATATAATCTCAGAAATATCCGACAGATAGAAATAGTTTCAAATGGCTTACCAACTCGAGGCTTCTTTGCTGATGTTGCACTTTCGCAGCGGCCGGGTCACATGAGCAGTGTCGTGATTAGGGCGGGCGAAGATGGTATTGAGTTGGAACCGAATCAATCATACCGCCTCGAGGGCTACATCATGAAGAAACGCAATTGCACCCATACTCATCTTTGCCCGTTACCCGACTCTGTAGTGTTGCTTAGTCGAGCTGAAGTATCAACGATTCTGGACATTTATCAATTCGCCTTGCGCAGCCGTGGACGAATCCTTCGTTGTCTCCGCGTCGGGCAAACCGAGTCTCGCCCTAGGCATATTTTGATGCATGTGCTGCACACAGCATGGGAGCCGTCGGTGAGCAATCTCAAACGTAATTGGGTACGAAAATATCAGCTAACGGGATTTCCGCGCATAGTTACAGTACGTGACACACTTCCACACGTATTATGAAATGACGGAAGACGTAGTCGTCGAGTTAGGGGAGCACATAGTCAGTGCTGGGGATGTTGTGGATTTCACGGGCAAGGTTGTGAACTGTACCAGGAGCACCAATACCTGGGTCATCCAAGTGAGGTATTCCGAAAAATATACCCACAATTTGCCCCATCACTGACGGCGAGTAAACAGGTCACACATGCGGTGTTGGTTGGCTCTGCACGCGGACCTTGAATACGTTGTATGTGACGTTTAGGAAACGTATGTGAGGCCATTTCACTGTGAAAACTGGTTCGGAAGCTTGATGAATTTCACTGGGAGTTGGGAGGATATTGAGCAATGAAAGGCCATTGACACTCCATTTGGTGTGAGTAGTTGAGTGACTGAACAGGCATGAGGAAGGCGGGAACGGGCGAAAGTAAAGGCTCCTCTTTAGTGCTGGGTCGCTCAATGGCTCGGACGGGACGGAATGGACAGTGTATGGACGTTGCATTCTGCTGGGGGTGTCACTGGTCACTTCTATGTACATGTATACACTCCCAATGGGATGTCCTCTTGCGAGTCTAGTGATGGAGCGCGACGATCCATTTGCCGTGCGCGCCTCCTATGTCTACCACGTTCCCAGAGACGGACACGACTTCTCCGGGTCGCAAGTGACCAATTGAGGCCGCTCCAATGGCGAGTCTGTCGTATATATAATCAACCTCAAACTCCCTGTACATCAAATACTATCGTCGGATTTCAGTTAGGTTTGGTTTGAGCGCAAGAAATTGGGAACCAACCTGCATGTCCCACTCCCGGTGCATCATGACGGCCACCCTCCATTTGCTCCCAGCTGAGTCATTCCGGACAAAAGAGTCCTTGACAAGGAGCGCACTTCCCGCAACCTGCAAGCCAACAGTCGTCTCTGCGGCGAAGCTTCTTCTACGATCTGCGCAAGCGGTGTCGTCTAGAGCGTCCAGCACCAAGCGGCTTGAGCGGTCGATGCCACCCTGCACGACTACGCCTTCGAGATTAACTCGCCCACTCAGGTCCTGCCTGTAGTGAAGAGACTCCTGGACTAACGTCACAGCCAGTGTCACGTTGTTGAGAACGACCGAAGCATTGTAACATTTGCGTCGATATGAACTGCCAGCGGTCTGAATTTGCAAAGCAAGAAGTTAGCTGTGTCGAATATCATTCGAGACTTGCGCTTACGTTCTCTCCAACTTCCAGGTTCGCCTTCCATCTGAGTGTCAACCGAGTATAGGGTCCTACATGGGTGATTCGCTTCAACTTTAAGAGCTCTGTAGGGTCAATTGAGGTGTATTGGTCTGTGAACGGAGAGGGTGATTGAATCATTCGAGAGCTTGGGAGATGGAGTGGATAACAGAACTGCAGTGATGATGAAGCCAACCAACGGTCTTGATCTTAAATAGATCCGAGCGTTCAAAATGATCATCGTCGTTCACGCGCAAGGTGTGTTGGGCAAGAGTCGTTTTGCGTCGCGAGGAGATGCAGACTGGATTAGCTGGAGTGGGATAGTTCAGTCGCCTGTGTACAAGGTCAGATACGGTAGCGGCGGTTTTCAATTACGCGAGTCAGGACTGGTGAGGCACTCATGGCTGGCGTTAGGCGGGGCAAGCATTCAAATGGACGCAACCCATAAGAAAAGGACTCGGCTGGCCTAATCTGGTTTAGAGTAGTTAGCTAGGGTTGTGAATGTAATGGCGGTAGCGTGACGTTCTTGATCAAGCGGAATTGGAGGAGGTTGAACAGGACGTTCAACACAAGAGGGCGCGTCTCAAGCAGTGAGAAACCTGTCGTCATTCCGGTGTGAGAAACAGGGAGGTCTCGCCGCTCGGCGAGCAAAGCCAAGGAAGCGTGCGAGTCGTGCCGGGAGTTGACTGAGACGGGCAACCTTTCTTCGTGTGTGTCTGATGGTACATTATTTTGAGTGCGTACATGTGAAAGGTGGCCTTGCAGTTGTGTCATGTGCTGTCGGATCTTGAGCTGTCACTGTACCGTCGGATACAATAGCTTGTCAAAGCCCGGCGAGAGGCTTTTTGTGCAGGAGTGCGGGCGTTCAACTTGAAGACTATGACAGATGCTCGTGTCCAAGGGGTAGCGCAGCCGCCCACGACCTCGTAAGGATAAGACTTGGGTTCAAAGACAGACTAGCACTACTTGCCCCCCATGAGGTGTGAGGTAGTGGGTTGTAGATATAACATCAAGTACAATCTTGACTGACAACTGTCGAACGCACAACACATATATTGAGAGTCAGGATGGGGGCGCAAAAAAATAACGCGCCTGGGCGCAGGGCGCGCCTAAACATCTTGGAAACAAGGTGAGCGTGCCCAAAGGCCTGTATGCCTCATAGTGAGAAAGTGGGGCTTTCCGCGTGTTTATTTTCTTATAAAATCCATTTGAAGTTATTGTATGAATCAACTTCAATTAACAATAGACCTTCAAACAATCCATCTTCCACCTTATCAGCAAGAATTATGTATTTAAGGTTGGTTAAAATGCATTTTGTGGATTTTTTTTTGCATTTTTTTCATATTTTTTCATTTTTGCGCGGTGAAAGGCCGTGCCTAACGCGCCAGTGGCGCCTAGACGCGCCCTTTTTCACAAAAACGCGCCAGGGCGCGCCTTTTGTTTAAGGCTGCACCCCCATCCTGAATTGAGAGCATCTCCAACGCGGCTGAATTCAAAAACACATACAGGTAATTTATTTCCTCGGCTGGACAGCTGTATTTTTTATTCTGTGACAGCGCCCTCCAGCGCACTACTGAAATTCATGCTCAATACCTCTTGAGGTTCAACCCATGTCACTCAAAGTCCCTTTTTGTCCAGACGTGAGCAGTCACCTACCTATCTTATTATCACAATACGTAACAAGTTCGACATATGGACAATTATTTTAGTCAATGTTTGGGCAAAAACCGTTGAGATACTGGTTTTTCAGTGATTCAGCCAGGTCCGCAAATTTGCGGACCTGAGCATGGGAGTGTGTCATTTCCCAAAAACCAAGTTTGCACTGTGGGCCAGGTGTGAGACCTTGCCCCCGGCGCTGGAGGATGATTTTCTGAAAAACTGCAATACAGGTTATGTTTTTGACATAAACGTAACATTTAGTCATTCAGATTCGCAAGCGTTGGAGATGCTCTGAGGGGATTATCTTGGGTCTCTTCTTCGGATTATCCTCAACGGGTTTTGAAGACAACAAGTCAAGAGCGGCCAAGGCAGGGAAGTTGATGACTTCGGCCTGGAGTTCAAAGTCAAAGTCCACTGTGAAATTCCATCCCAGAAGCTGTGAAGCCATTTGGGGGAGTTTTTCTTGCATCATGTTTGATGGAACAAGGTGAAATGCCAATTCATCTGCCAAGTTTCTCTCTTGCCAAGTTTCTCTCTGCAAATATTTGCCACTAAAATGAAGACCAACCTAGGGGAAAAATCTGAATCAGATCCTGGGTATCAGATGTAGGCTGTAGACGGTGTAGAACTTATAGCCCAACAAGGGTTATACAGAGCTGGAAGAGGATAATCTACTAATAAAAATGACTAGTAGAAGTTGTCTAAGGACTGCTCTTCTAAAACAAGTCAATCAGAAAGAGAAACTGTTGACTTGAGTACTGATAAGGCACCAGAGAAATATAACTGATTTGATAAGAGAAAAGCACCTGATTTAATTAATCTCAACACAATTTTAGTGTTATTCCAGTCGAGTCAAAATGTAGAAAAATGATCTCAATATCTTTTTGATATTATTCCAGAATGACAGTGTCATATAAAGCACATAAAACAAATTTCTCCTCTGATGAAGGGCTGGTTTGAGTGACCTAGTACTGCTATAATAAATTTATAATGATAAATAAAATTAAAGCTCTGTAAGAGATGAAGAAGAAAGGAAACATAATTTCGCACAAAAGACACAAGTTTATAAACACATCAATACAAATTGTTAAAGTGGTAAACAGCTCTTAAAAATCCTCTTTACCATCTAAAAAACCAAAAGATGACTAAAATGTTGGTAAACAGCTGTGATCTAATGATTCAACCACTTTCTACATTCCTCAATTTCGCCATGAGTAGCTCATCAACCCATTATGATCATTACTATGATGTAATGTGATCTTCTATTCATCATCTGATAAGATTTATTACTAATTTGACCAGTAAAACATGACTAATCTCTATTCTTATGATCAAATGCTGTGTATATGCTGTGTTTAGAATGTTCTAGAATAAGGGGTTTCAAGTTAAGTTTTTTTACGTTTTTTTACGTTACAGAAATTTGGCCGTTGTTGTAAAATGTGCGTAAATTTTTTAAAACGGGAGACCTTTTTACGTCTCCCGTTTTAAAAATACGATGTTTTTACGCAAAAAAAAATTACGAAAAACTTGCCCAAATTTGTAAAAATCACATAAAAATTATACCAACTTGAAACCCCTTAATGAATATTGATTTGATCTTATGATGATTCAGCATTTCAATGATGTAATTGCTTGTTATTAATGATTTGTAATCTTGTTGATGTGTAATCAAATCCTTTGATTCCTTATAACTTTTGCCATAAACCTCTGTTACTAATGATTTAAAGATTGTACATTAGGGGGTTTCAAGTTCAATTTTTTTTTGTGTAATTTTTAAAAATTCGGACAAGTTGTTCGTAAAAAAAATCTTTGTAAAACAACGTAATTTTAATTCGGGACACCTAAAAAGGTGTCCCGCTGTAAAAAATTTACGCATATTTTACAACAACGGGCAAGTTGTTGTAGCGTAAAAATACGCAAAAAAATTCAACTTGAAACCCCCTATTATGAAATGAATAATTTTACGTCGAATGAACTACTACTCATCATGTTCTGACGTCATTTGACACATGTAATCAGCTGAAAACCTTCATTTTCAATGATTTTCACCTATTTTCTCCACTTTACACACCTTTTACTAAGCTTTTCTTGTCTTCTGTAACATTACACAGCAATATCTAACCGTGGAAATCCCTAAAAACACTCTTGGCAACCTCATTCATTACTAATACCACTGTTACATATGTAAAACTACCTGTAAACCCTTGTTTACCAATTTCGACTTTTTCCCATTTCCTTAATAACTTCTATTTTATCTTATAGACCATCATGATTAAAGTTGTTACTGAATAACATAATGCTCCTCTTTCATATTCTGACCCTACTAAACCCATAAACCTAATATTAATACCCTAAAAACCATTTCCAACCTGTATACCTCTATTTTCGAGTTTTTCTTATGTTTTTTTCTTCTTTCTTTTTGTAATCTGTTTGTTAATAGTTTATACTTATCTTATTAAGCTTGTTCATATAAATTGAGTATTTAAAGATAAAATATATGTAATATAATTGATGTAATTCAAAAATTTGATTTTTTTGATTTTTTGATTGGTCTCATAGATTGATTACCACATCCTCCCCTTCTTCCTAAACTGCCCCCAGTTTACCAATCAAAAAATAAATAGCTTTCATCCAACTAAACTGTGTATCCTGACGTTTTAAAATTCAATCTTTAATTTGATTGATGTTGACTTTTTAAATTGATAAAGATTTGTTTATTTTTCTAACACTATAAGATTGTTTGAATTTGAGAAAGAGAAACATATCAATAACACACAAATATCTCCTCAACTGCACTATACTGCCCACCTCCCCTTCTTCTGCTTTTAAATCTCACACCACAAAGATAATTCATTCTATACCAATTTCAATCTTACTTTCCTAGACCATTTCTCAACTTCTTTGGACACTTCAGGCAAAATTGAAAATAACTCTTTAATGAACAACTGATAAAATTTGTGCTTAACTCTGTTCACTACTTTTGATAACATTGATTTAGAATTCTCTTTGAAAACAGATGTATTTAATTTTTTTTATGAATTTATGTGTATTTGAATTGATAGAAAATAAATTGTTTGAATGTTCATCTATCTCGTGCTTCTTCTTGATACCATATCCTTTCTCAATTCGCATAAAATCCTCTCCAATAGCATTATCATTATCTTCTAACACTTCATCCATGTCCACGACATCAATCACTTCTATAACATCATTAAATGCTACTTGCTTCTTTATCTTAAGATCTTCTTGAATTTGATTTTTAACATCCTCTTTCTTAATTTGAGACTCATTATTTTGTGCTAATTCTTCTTCCTCAATCTTTACTTCTTTATTGACAGAATACATTTGAAAATCATTAGTAATAATTGGTGTTAAATTTGGTAATGAAACTACTGGCTGAATTAAATTACAATCTTCTGGTTCCATTGAAAAACTCGAATTTTCATTATGATCAAAAGTACTCTCAGTATCAGAATAGTAGT